CTCTTGACCAGCAGTTTTATGGGTTTCTACCGACGAATTCAGGTTAGTTACTACTAAACTGTAGGTAAAGAGGGCCCCAGGTTGAGTTTTTGAGTATCACTTCTACGAACGTAGCTGAAATCAAGCCGACAGAGCATGTGCTGGCTTGCCAAAGTGTCCATGGTGGTGCGCAGAGCTTTCCTTTGCTGTGCACCAAGTTGTGTGTCTTGTGTGTCGATGTGTTGGTAAATATGTAGGCAGAAGATGTACATGTGTTGTCGTCGAAGAAGGCACCGCCGGGCCGCAGGTCCCCAATGCGACTGCCCAGCAGTTTATTTTCTCGAATTGCTTCTCCAACTTATGGCGGACGTTGAAAAGACGCAAAGGGGCGCAGCAGCCCCAATCAGACCTTAGAGAGCCCCGCCATAACGCCCTTGTAGAGGACGACGTCTAGCAAGAAGAAGTTAGAGTCACTCTAAACCCTAAACCCTAAACCCTAAACCCCAAACCCTCAGAGGGTTTTAAGGGAGCCATTCTGTAGCCTTGAAGGCTGGCGTATGCTATGAGCATGCAACGCCACACTACCCGCAGCATCGAGCTGTCCCGCTCTGTGGTTGCCACACATCCCCTCATCAGTAGAGATTACAAGGAGCCCATGGAAGCCCTGAATCCCTTTGTGATTTTAGGGTTTAGGGTTTCGGGTTTAGGGTTTAGGGTTTTAGGGTTTTAGGGTTTTAGGGTTTAGGGTTTAGGGTTTAGGGTTTCAGGTTTATGTTCTGGAGCTCTCGGAAGCCTTCGTGCCAGTACCTGGACCTTTTTTGGGCGGCTTGGTTTGGGTCTTCTTGAGGAGCGCCGCCCTCAGTAGGGAAGGTGCCCGAGCTTTAGGCGCCAGCTTCCGGGGCCCTAAACCCTAAACCCTAAACCCTAAACCCTGAACCCTGAACCCTGAACCCTGAACCCTGAACCCTGAACCCTGAACCCTAAACCCTAAACCCTGTGCCGTGCCATACCCAGTCACGTTGGGCGTTTAGGGTTTAGGGTGCAGGGTTTTGGGGCTGCTACCTATAGAGATTGCTACACGCCTTGGGGACGAAATGAACCCTAAAAGGGTTTCTGGTTCATATACCTTAATAGGGGATTATAGTAGTATGGGGTATATGACCCCAATTTTAGGGTTCATTTAGTCCCCAAGGTGAGCATATATCCTACGCACAGCGATTTCACAGGTGAATATGGTGCAAGCCATTCATGCTGTCATCATGTGCATGAACCCTTTCCCTCTTCTCAGGGCTGCCTTCAGTGACTTGCACGATAGTAGGGAACACGCTGCGTATGGCGTTCCTGCCATAGCATTCGCGCACGCGCTTTTTGGGCTCGAGATGTATCACGGCTGCTGCTTCAGTTTAGGGCTACGAATACCGGGCCCCTCGCTGATTCACGTGGCAGACATTGTCAAGGGCCCCCTTGGCGGACAAAGGCCCAAACAGCCTGGGAATCTGAGGGGCTGGGAAGCTATAACCTTTAACCTTTGGGGTTACCTTCAATAAGCTTTAACAGGGTTAACCTTTAACCTTTTGGGTTACCTTTGATAATACTATTACAAGTAAAGGGCTAACCTTTCTTGGGCTAGGGTTGCCAGCCCCCCGCAGGATTGTGGGTTTAGGACCTCAGGTAAATTTTAGCGCTTCGAGGTTGTGGCGGGGCGCCATTTTGGGTTTATTGGGTTTCTTAAGAAGGCAGCTAAAAATTAAATTACAGCTGCCCTGCTAAGTGCAGCCAAGTGAAGATGCTGAAAGGGTAGCTTGGGTGCAACAGCTATGATCTGCCCCCATGCTTTATCAATCATTGGAAGCAAAAAGGGGTTCACAAAAGACAAGGCAACTTGACCCAGATGTAGCACATCCCTTTGGCGTTGGCGTTGCGTATACGGAGCCTTACCCAAATAGACATGAACCCTAAACCTTCAACCCTAAACCCTAAACCCTGATATGTAGCTAAAGGGTACCTAGATATGTTCGGCCGTCAGGCTTCACCATAGCGCTCCCACAGGGGAAGAGGCCCGTGAATCTTGAGCCTGCACTCCGTGTCTCCATGTGCTGTGGAGTGCTCTCTGAGGGTTTAGGGTTTAGGGTTCAGGTTTTAGGATGTTTTAGGGTGTTCTGTGAAACTCTGAGCAGGTGATCCAGTCGTGGTTGGGAAAAGCTGGGTGGCAGGATTTTGTGCCAGTCCGCATTCACATTGAGATTTCTGCAACTGTCCTGGGAGGCATGGGCTCATGCGCCGCTGCCCTGAGCGGAAAGAATAAGGTTCAACCGGAGGACGAGGCGCCAGCGAAGACAAAAATGTTTTGGAGAAATCAGAGTGGGTGTGGCAAGCAAAAGTTGGCCAGAGTCTGTAGTATCTTGGTTTCGTGGCATGTGCGTGCGCCTTCCCAGCGGAAACCTCCAGTCGTCAGATCTCATCAACCCAAGCTGTCATAAAGTGGCAAGAGCATGAGGGCCTAGCGGTAGTTCAACTGTCGTTCCACGCCCCTTGCCCGCAGGACTACCATCGCGTTGCCGGGGCCTCGAGTTGCTTTCACGCTGTCTCAGGAGCAAGCTCCATATGGGTGGTTGACAAAATGATGATCCCTTTTGGGGTACCCTAAATATAAGGTGCTGTATTATAATAGGGATCCAAAAAGGGACCATCATTTAGACAACCACCCATATGCAAACGAAAGCTTCGAGAGTCCTGAATCGCAGATCGAGCCCCACCATGTATGCCACGCGTGACTTTGTAGATGGACTGTGACGAAACTCCTTGTCATAGTGGGGTAACATGTTAGATTTTTAAGGGTACTTGAACTCAATAAGGAAGAGGAATGTACATGTTTAGTACTATCCCAACCATGAACTAGGTTTAGGCTAAACCCTAAGCCCTAAACCCTAAACCCTAAACCCTCGGAAACTGATCTGGGCGTGTTTGCGACAGGTGCCTGGTCCCGCCACCCGGCAGCAAGCTCGAGCATGTGCTCACGTCACAACGCAGGCAAACACCATCTTCGGCTTGCCTACGAGTTGCTTAAGAACCCCCCCCCCCCCCCCCACAAAAAAAGAGACAATATTCCCTTTATTTCCCTTATTAAAAGAATATGTATTACTATGATTACTGTTATTATTATGTTTTTTGTTTTTTTTGGTGGGGGGGGGGTTCTTAAGCAAATAGTAGTTGCTGGGGGTGAGGGACCAGGGGTTCAACAGGCACTGTGACAGCAATATAGGACACGCCCTTCGGATTCTTGCAACGCAAGATGTCACACAGCAGTTTTTGCTGAAGTCCCAAAGTTTCAAGAGGAGCAACCGGACAATGCATGGGGACGCACCTTGTTGTGGGACTGCCGAGATGACATGCATTACTATTACAATAATTAGCATCTCTATTCTTGTATACTGTCTTTATTATCATTGCTGTGTGTGATTCTTATTATGATTGTTGTTCTTATTTCTTTTAATTGTAATTACACTGAGGCGCCAGACGCAGGCTTCGATGGGGGGCGCCGGGCTTAGTTGACCGATATTGACGTGCTTGATGAGCTTGCAGCCCTACCTCCCCCTCCCTCCTCCTCGGTCCCCCTCTCTCGTCTCTCCTCCACTTGTTGCTTTTTTGCGTCTGTTTCTCTCCCGCTCTCTGTCTGCTTCGTTACCTGTGATCCCGAAGAGGCTCTGCTGTCAAGCTCAGGAGCGATCCGAACGGCGTGCCTGTGCAAGGCTTTGGGCATTGCTTCATGCTGATGAGCCTGAGAGCCACTGAGCACCGGACATCCGTTCTGCTCCCCAGGTCTCTGGAGAGGTCGAACTTCTCTTGTACTGCACGAGAAGCCCAAACAAGCAAGCCCGTAGGCAGCCATGTAGCCCTCGCCAATCAAACCCTGTGGGTTCCTGGTACCGATCTGCAGGCCGGAAAGCCAACAAGTTACAACGAGTAGTTCGCGGCGGCGGAAAGGACAGCCTGTGGCGGCGTAGCGGATCATGGGATTCTCCGAACAGCCATATGCACCTTTCTGGCAGGACGCTGCTGCTCCGAAGTCGGTAAAGCAAACAGCCACTTGATTAAATTGCGCGGAAAGGTTGCTGCGATCTCGGCAATGGCTAGCAGGTACAGTACAGTACCCCTATGGCTGGTTCTTTGTAGGGAATGAGGGAATGAGGGCCCTATATGGAATGAGGGCCCTATATATGGTTGCGCCCCGGCGGGCCCACCCCCCCCGCCCCCTGTGGGGTGGTTCTGGGTGGTTTGGTTTAGGGTTTAGGATTTAGGGTTTAGGCGTGGGGTTAGGGTTTCCCTTGGGGGGGGGGGGGGCGCAGAACGCACAGCGCGCAACCATATATACCCTTCAAGGGATGAACAAGGGCCCAAACCCTAAACCCTAAACCCTAAACCCTAAACCCCTCATTCCCTCATTCCCTACTAAGAACCAGGGGGCCCCCTACCTTGAGACAGTCCTTTCCTTCGACTGTAGAACTGCAACTGCAGGAGCCCGAGGCGTGGTGCGGTTTCTAGGTTTAGGGTTTAATTAGGGTTTAGGGTGTAGGGTGTAATTAGGGTTTAATTAGGGTTTAGGGTGTAGGGTGTAGGGTTTAGGGTTTAGGGTTTAATTAGGGTTTAGGGTGTAGGGCGTAGGGTTTAGGGTTTCTATGGGGTGGACATGGTTGGACGTCATGTCCCGTTCTCGTGCCACCTACGGTGAATACTTCTTCTACTTTTTGTAGCGGCAAGCATTAGTCGGGCTTGTAGAAAAGACAAAGGTCCGGATTCATAATATGGACCGACACCGTACAACCCAAGCAAGTGGTGTGCCTTGGGATGTCCCCCTTATACGAACAGTCCTTAGTAGGGGTCGTAGTACCCTCTTTTGTATAAGGGCAACATTGCAACGTGCACCCCAAAAGCATAGCCGCTAAGGTCAGTGCGGAGAACCGGAAGTTCATACTGAAGGTTTTGCAGAAGCACTTTGTCTTCGGCAATCTGGACGACGACCCATGGCCAAGTTGCATGTGCATTTCAGTGTAATTACCAACTAGCTCGGAAAAGCCGCGGAGCATGCAGGTCAAAGGTTTCAGCATCCATCTTCGGGCTCCAAGGCTCCTTCCCCCCCCCCCCCCCCCCCTATACCTCCCCTTAAGATACGCCAGTCGGACTCGAATCCCTATGGTGGGAATCCCCCCCCCCCCTCTGTTTAACCCCTCAACCCTAACCCCCTCCCCTCTGTTTTCCAGCCCAGGAAGAGCAAGAGATGGTCGTGGATCATTTCGAAATGCAGCAGTCCAAACCAGACCCTCGGTCGGCTCTAGGCTAGAGGTCATCATGCTGCAGTTTTAGGGTTTAGGGTTTAGGGTTTAGGGAGCCCCCGATGAGTACCGGTACAATGGTGCAATCCCTACAGAACCGTTTAAATCAACTGCCCCAAATGCCTGCTTTAAGTAAACAGGCCCGTGGATTACGCCTAGAAACCATATAGACCCTTTCAAACCTAGGAACCTATAAGTCTTTTAGCCTGTGGACCCCAAAACCAAGGTTGTTAAGCAGACTCTGAAGAACCCAAATCGCTTTGCAGGTTCTTGCCTTGCAAGGTGCTGGACAGCCGATGCCTTGTTAAGGGTTTTGGGTTTAGGGTTACGTTTCGGGAAGAGCGTACAAGGTTGAGGTCAAAACCCCCTGCGTGCGGCAAAGGTTCAGAATTGCCTGTCCAGCCATTGCACCCTGGTAGTTTATTTAGTTGGCTTAAGAACCATCAAGAAACACAAAAAGTGTTCTTCCTTACACGGGTAATTTTTCTGGGTCGAAGCGGGTGCCTTCCACACCCTGCCAAGCATTTTTTGAGCTTTCCAGATGCCCAAACCCCCCCCCCAGGAAGAGGTCATCTTTTCACAGGATGAGGTCGGGGACTGCTTCGTGGCTGCAGTGAGCCCTCAAAACCTCGAGTTGGGGCTTCGAACATGACTCGCCTGCTTACTTAGCACGTGGGAGGTGCCCCCCTTATACTCGACACCATAATCGCTATTACTGACTGTTAGTATAAAACCCTAAACCCTAAACCCTAAACCCTAAACCCTAAACCCTAAACCCTAAACCCTAAACCGTGGGACATCCGTTAGTATAAGGGGGAACATCCCAACTTAGCATCATATTTCCGGGGGGCCCCTAGGAGTTGAGAACTTCGGCCTCCCTAAGGCATCCAGGGTTTCGGGTTTAGGGTTTAGGGTTTAGGGTTTAGGGTTTAGGGTTTAGGGTCCCTTCAGGTGCGGGCAACCAGTTGGGATGTTCCCCCCTTATACGAACATTCCTTAATGGAAATTCTAATAGGGGGGGGAAGGGTACTAGAAGCGCTATGCAGGACTGTTAGTATAAAGGAGGAGACCCCTACCTTAATCCCCAAACCCTAAACCCTAAACTCCTTGAAATCCCCTGGGAAACCAGGCTGGTACATTATCCAAAGCGGCATCTTTGAGGTCCACCTGTGGCTCATGTCGGGATAAGGGTTTAGGGTTTGGGGTTTAGGGTTTAGGGTAAGCTGTGGGGGGAAATACGCGGGGATACCCAAATTGCTGAGGGAGGGTGTTCGGATTTCTGAAGAAGGCAGCTAAAAAATTCACCTATGGCTGCTCTATAAGTGCGGCCAAGTTAATGGGGTAACTCATATATACCCTTGGTAGCCCAGGTGGTACCCTTTACCCTCTTTTTTTGGTTATGGGTTCCCTGATGAAACAGCCTACCAAAGAAGGGTGCCCTTATGATAATATGGTTACTGGTTTAGGGTTTAGGGTTTAGGGTTTAGGGCTAATAAGTGCCCCTTGTTTCTACCAAGCCTTCCCTTTGCAGGTCTGCGTCGGCAGCACCGCCGTGCGCCAGCTCCGCGCCAAGCACAGCTTCGGGGAGCTGGCGATGCTGTACAGCGTGCGACCCGTCCTTCATTTATATATATATATATATATATATATAGGTATATACATATATATATATATATATGTATATGATTTTGCTTATTTTGTTTCATTTCATTTTTTCGGGGGGGGGGGGGGGAGCTTCGGTGGAAGCCTCCGTGGCATTGTAGGGTGTTCATGGATTCATGGGCTCCAGGGAAAAGGCTGCCTCGCTTAGGGGATGTGGGTGGAGTTTATAGGTCTGAGACGTCAGCATGGCGCACTGATGGTGCCCTCTGCACCCCAGCCCATAGATCCTATAAGGCCCTAAGCCCAAGCGGGAGCGAACAAAAGCCCTCCAGCCGCCTAAACCCTAAACCCTAAACCCTAAACCCTAAACCCTAAACCCTAAACCCTAAACCCTAAACCCTAAACCCTAAACCCTAAGCCACATCCCAAGGCCAAGAACAGCCACAGTCACCTCCAAAGAGAAAGGCGTACTGTGGAAGATGGACGCTGACCAATTCAGAGCCTCATGGTCTCAAAACCCTTTTTGCAACCCTAAACCCGACACCCTACACCCGAAACCCGAAACCCTAAACCCTAAACCCTAGGGTTTAGTAAAACCCTAAACCCTAAACCATGACCCTAACTGTGGGATGTTCCCCCCTGATACTAACAGCTCCTTAGTCGGGATTACATTAGGGGGTACCTATCATCCCTATTAAGGACTGTTAGTATAAGGGGGAAGATCCCAACTTTCAACCCTTAACCCTAAACCTTTTTTGGGGGTTAGGTACGGATCCTGTGAGATACCCAAAAGCGGACTAGCCGACAAGCCTACACCAGAAGCTCCCTATGGCGACTTCTACGGGACGCGCGAGCCCCTTACGACAGATGCGTTGACTGCCCAACTCAACTTCATGTCATATGGCAGTTGTTCTATACCAGGGCTTCGTTGATTGGTGTGGGCGCTCCCCAGCTTTATGAGGCCTGCCTCGTTCACGGCCTTTCCTTCCTCGCGGTTTTTGGATAGTTTTCGCCGCGCGCGTCCGTTCTGGGGGGGTTCTGCGTGGTGTTTCGGAAACCCTAAACTCATCGTCCAGAATTGCCTTGGAACCCAGAAGCGCGCTCCGTGATGGTGACATTGGTGATCTGCTGCGTCGTGGTCTTGCACGTTTGCGGTCTAAGTCAGCACAACTCTTCTCTGTAGAGAGGACCTATAAGGGAGACCTGAATTCGCACAATTGTCCCGCATGCCCATATTTGATGCCCGCCGAACAATCCTGGAGCATCAGGTTTGCATGCAACACTTGAGCTCCAAGAGCATGAAGAAAGCGAGCCGTGGCTGGCTATTGAGGGCTTATGGGCTTGGCATTTGGAGCCTCCACTCTGCACCATTTGCGTGGAATGTGACGTTCTTGATGTACTACCGCAAGCAGTTAAGGGATGTTGTGGGTTTCACTCGAGAAGTTCCGGGGACGAACTTGTGGGACACTTGCGTCTACGGATTCTGGATGCGTGCACACCCAAGGCTGGAGTTCTTCGAGGCAGATTCAAACTATCGACATATGTCGAAGGAGGAGAAGAGCGTCCTCGCCACTGCCTGCTCGGTGCAGAACTTCGCTGCCGGAGATGTAACTTAGCAGTAGAGTAGGCAACCTTTAACCTTTTTGGGGTGATAGATTCCCCTTATATTCCCAAAGCTTAACCTTTAAAACCCCTGGGTACTGGACAACTAAGGTAATCCTGCGCGAGGGCGAGGTCGGCGAGTGGATGTTTATTGTTATTGAGGGCACCGTGAAGATCGTGGACCAGCTCCTGGGCGGCTTTAGAGAGAAGGTGCTCCGAGAGCCTCGTAGACTGTAGAGATGCTCAGACCTGGCAACCGAGGTTCGGGAATTCCGAAATCCGGAAGCCCGGTACATTGCTGGGCAGCTCCGGTGTGTCCCTTTTCATCATAGTGGTTGGGTTCCGGTGCTGCGCAGTCGCTTCACCTGCTTCAGGGCTTAGCCCCTTGGGAAAGCTCTGAGTATGATCGACGCACGTGTATAAAACCAAAGTATCAGTTCTCTTGGCACTGGTCCTCACCCCGCATCCAGACCTTAAGCAACAAACAAAAATTGGACGTCTGCAACACACGTTGCTTCTGCCACCAAGGATGTACTCTAGTTTGCACTGCAGTGGCGCCACTGCGGTCGACAAAGTGACCCTCAGCTTGACAGAGCTGTGTGCAGGGCCGAGCCCATACGCAAGCTGCACACTAGGACGTCGTGTACTTTGTCACATTAATGGCATCAATCATGCAAGTTGCGTACAGGCCGCGCGGCGCTAGAACAACGCCCTCACAGATGAGAGTTCAGTTTCCCTAAACCCGAACGGCCCGAACCCTAAACCCCCTTCTGGGGTTTTGGCAGGGAATCGGCTGACTTCAACCAGGGCCCTGTAGCTTGCACATGAGGCACTGGGATGGAATTCGCAATCTTCCACCTTTTGCACAGTCCCTTCAGCCAAAAACCCTGAGTTTAGTAGGTGATGGTTGATGAACATGCGGGACCCTATAATAGACCCCCCAAAGAGTCGGACTCCCTTGCAATCAGGACCCCAACAAAGTACCCCTAATTTCGGAAACCGCCAGGTTCACAACCCTCAATACCTTACGTTAACCCTAAACCCTAAACCCTAAACCCTAAACCCTAAACCCTAAACCCCAAACCCCAAACCCCAAACCCCAAACCCTAAACCCTAAACCCTAAACCCTAAACCCAACTAATTAACGAGGACTTGCCTGGCCTTGGGCAGAAAGTCGCTGGAGAGCTTACTCGGTCCAGGAGGCAGCGTCCTTCGCAGAAGTGCGATCAAGTCGCTGCTGATGGACAACGCGCCTGGGACCGCTGAAGAGTACCAGCAAGAACTACGACAACTAAGATTCATCCTATTTTTGCAAAATTGAATACCTAACTGTTAGGGTTCAGGTCAGCCTAGTTAGTATTTTAATACCTCCCTCTTAGGCCTAAGGTTAGACTTTCAGGAGTCTTACTTTAACTCCTCGGGCCGGTAAGAAGGAAGACTTCGGTGCCCCCCCCCCCATGAACGCGCAGAGTGCTTGCATGCTGTAGGGGTCGGAATAATTACTAATAGTATTCCCTTAGGGTCCCTTTATAAATGTACGATAAGAACCCCCAAAACCCTATTCTAACTATTCAGGCCCCTATATTGTCCGAGTGTGTGAGAGCGACTGGCCGTTGAAGCTGAGCGTGCAGATTTGCCAAGTCCTGATTTCCCAAGAATGGCCTCTTGAAAGAGGTGGCCCTTTTGCAGCAGCTGATTGTAGTCTCAGGCTGCTGCAAATCCCCCGCGCCACACCCACCACTCACCTTCCTTCCTTTCCTTCCTGTCCCCACCGCATCAGTGTACGCAGCCGCTCTTCGAGAGTTTGGTTTGTTTAGGGTCAAGCCGGATTCAGTCACAGTGGCACTGGTGATTTTGGCGCCACCAGTTCCGCATTCCGGTTGTTGAGGTGGAGCATGTGGACTACTTCAAGGAGCTTGCTGAAGCCGAGCTGCACAAGGTGACTCTTCCCAAACCGGTAGCCCTCTCTGCGAAACCCTAAACCCTAAACCCTAATCCCTAAACCCTAAAGCCTAAGCCCTAAATCCCTAAACCCGAGATGGTTTCAGGACCCATGAAGTGCCTGTGGAGTTCAGGTTCCACAAGTTTCTGCTGCACTTGGAGGTTCAGGGTACTTGTTACCCAATTCAACCTGTACTTCTAACCCACTTGTAAGCCCCTTAAGTCCCCTAATGTGGTTATAAGTACAAACCCCACACCCTAAACCCTACAGTTATAATTGGTTAATAAGTATCCTGAACCTTCAAGCAAGCCAACAGGTGGTGGACAAGTTCGAGGAGACCTCCTTCCCACCCCTTGGAACGTGCCTTGTCAGCACCTGAAGCAGGGTTTAGGGTTTAGGGTTTAGGGTGTAGGGTATTGGCGAGTGTATTTAAGGTTCCTTTGTACTATTGGTGAGTGTATATACTTTGTGTCCTTTTGGGGTTGCTGCTCTGGGCCGAGCCCGAGCCAAAAAGAGCCAAGCAACGGTGCTTGCGACGGCGGTGCTTAGGTGACGACTCAACCCTAGCCGGCTTTCATGTCAATGTGCAGAACTGGGCGTACCAGGATGGGCCATTATACCCTTTACCCCCTTAAAAAGACCCTTTGTAGGGTTGTTTATAAACCCCAAACCCCTAAACCCCTAAACCCTGAACCCTAAATCGCCCATCCTGGTACTGCCTACCAGGACCTTGCATAGCCGGGTCGAAGATGTCGGAAGTGGAGAAGTTTTTAACCCTAAGCCCTAAACCCTAAAAACCCTAAACTCCTAAACCCTAAACCCTAACCCTAAAACCCTAAAACCCTAAACCCTAAACTGACGCTCAGGATTGTGTCGGCTGGTGCGCCTGCTCAGCTGATCGTCGTCGTAGCCGGCCAGGCCAAGATGCCCCTTAAGGGGGGGAGGGGGGAATAATAGCAATAATAAGAAGAAGAACACAAATATTAGTAAGAACAATAATACTAGTAAAGATAATAAGAATGAGAAGAATAAGAATAGTCATATTAATAGCACATAGGTGCTACAAACATACATGGCGACTATTACCAAGTACTTGTCTGTGGTAGGGGGAGAGCCCGACCCTGCGTCACCCTCACAGATCCCCGACCGGGCTTCCTTGCGCAGTGCATGGGCCGAAGACGTTGTAAAGAGGAGCCTTTCAAGGTCAAGTCCCGTCCTTGAGAGGGGGGTGGGCGTATTCCTAAACCCTAAACCTCAAACCCCAAACCCTAAACATTCAACCCTAAACCCTAAACCTAAACCCTGGGCACAGGTGGCCATACTTGGCCCTGATGCCGAGGAGGTGCAAGATGCAGCCATCTTGGAGAAGCAGGTGCTGAGGGGGGTTTAGGGTTTAGGGTTTAGGGTTTAGGGTTTAGGGCAGGAGTCGAAGAATGGGAGATGGTGTGAGAACTCACCGACTCGGGTTCGTACCCCCATGCACCCCTCTCTGGTTGGGGAAAGACGCAAGATGGAGGACGGTGGAGGGTCTAGGGTTTAGGGGTTTAGGGTTCAGGGTTTAGGGGTTAGGGGTTTAGGGGTTTAGGGTTTAGGGTTTAGGGCCCTAATTTCTTTTCTGATCTTCATGCGTTGGTCACGTCAAGTCTGACGGTGCTACGACCCCCCTCCCAGCATCGCAGGGCATGCGGACACCCGTGACGCCCAAAATCATATACTCGGTGGAATGCCTAAATTGGCCAATAAATCATGTATTTAGAGACATGATCAGATATTGGCGTCCTGAACTGCCGCACTTGGTTTTCTCCGAGTTTTTGAGTCACACCTTGCACGACCTGGTTTGGCTTCAGCATTTTGGGGTTGTAGAGGGCCCGGGGTACCTAGGATTCTTCAAAGGTGATCTGCGAGAAGCTGCACAAGTAAGGGATTCGAAGTTCCGCAGCGACCTAAGGCGTGGCGAAGCGATGTAGGGGTCGCCAAATCCAGAAACGAAGAGGGTTTAGGGTTTAGGGTTTAGGGATTTTAGGGTTTAGGATTTAGGGTTTAGGGGTGTATTCCATTCTATTCCTGAATTCAGAGGGGGTTTGTTCGGCTTCCCTCTCGCTCCTCGCTCCCCCCCTCCCACACCCCAAGCGCGGTCGATCTGAGTGAACTTCAGCGGCACCGACCCAGAAAAGGCTTCAGAGTTTCAACCCTGAACCCTTAACCCTACACCCCAAACCCTAAACCCTTAACCCTACACCCCAAACCCTAAACCCCTAAAACCTGTTCAGAGTCCACCCTGGAGGCCATTAAAGTCGTGCTGCCGGGGCAGTTGCATGGGGCGCAGTCACTGCTCAACAATACCCCGATGGAGTACAAGCAGCCAGCCTCGAACAAGTCCGGGATTTTGGCCATTTCGGGCACAGGATTTCGGGCCCCTTCTGTTGTGACAAGAGCGAAGAACTACATTGCTGTGGAGGGCGATGTTGCGGCAGTCCACGGATTACGATCGACTCGAAAAAAGGCACAAATTCGAAGATGGCGGGGTCACTGGTCATTACACAATGTGCTTCGTGCTCGACCCTTCGCGTTCCTGTAGTCAAGGGCTCTTGGAATGTGGGCTGCAGCACCTGCGATGAAGACGCCGAAAACCCGGGCGGTTTCGAACTCGGGGCCACATGCATGGCGAGAAGAGCGACCAACAACAGTTCGCACGGCCCAATGCATTCGTGAATCATATGGTGTGATGTGTTACCTCCAGTAACACATCCCCTAACAAAGCTACACTCAAATGGCATCCCGGGAGACTGCAAGGCAGTTGCACAAGCTTGGTTGCGGCATTTGCTTGTTGCACGGTGATCGTGTTGCTTGTGTCAGGGAGAGTCCCCTCGCCTTGGACTTCGGCCCAACTCAACTACTATTTGCTTAAGAACGCCCCCCCCCCCCCCCCCAAAACAAAAAAAAAAAACACACACACACACACATAATAACCATACTATATATATATATATGGCAAGATTCGTCCTTGCACGGGAAATATAGGGTTTTCTCTTATGTTTTGGGGTTTCTTACACAAATGGTAGCAACTCTGACACCGACTGAAGGGTTGGCAGCGTCGTGGCTGAGATTCGCCTGAGGCTTGTAGCTTTGCAGAACACCCAGCTGCACCGCGTGACGCACAACATGGTCTCCCAAATCCTGGGTGGCAACTGGCGACTGCAAGTAGGGGAACTCACTCGTGTTAGGGTATACGGTTGTTATTTACGGTTGCATGTTTTATAATGTACATACAGCATGTATATACATATAATGTGTATGTACAGAAGGTGGGCATATGCACATCTGTGTAAAATATATTCATACATCGTTCCGAACGGTGGCTTTCAGAAGTATGGATTAGTGTGAGTCTCAGGTGATGTTTTTGTATGTGGCGAAAGGTACCTAAATGCTTGAGTATGAGTACTGAATACTAAATATCCCGGTTCTGGTAACTTGATTGCAGCGCTGCGCGACTCGCCGTGGCCGGGGCTCGTAGCCATGGCAGCGGCTAGCCATGGCAGCGGCGTTCGTTTTTCATCTGTACATGCTTTACCTTGACAGCATGTGATGCAAGCCTGCCTGCACCTTCCCCCCGCCCCCCTGCCCCGCCCCACGCTCTTCCCTTTGGCTACGGCTGGGGAGGGGGGGAGAATAGGCAGGCTTGCCTAAGGTAAGGCGAGTATCAACTCCCCACCGCCCCCCTTGTCCATTCCTGCCCTTGCCCTGCTTTATGCTATGTACTCCGCTTCTGTATCACACTGCCGTCCACCCGTCTTGCGAGACTCCAGAAAGACTCAGTGCATGTTGGAGCGACGTCGTGGACTAGGCAACGAGGAACAACCTGCACCCCTTCTCAGGGGTTGGCATGTCGGGGGCGGTTGTGGTGGCTTCAGCTGTCCTCAACTCATGTGCTGGTACGGCGGTATCAGGAACCCAGGACATGAGCCATTAAAATGGAAATGTTTGGACCGTCACTGGTTGTCACAAGTGCTCGTAGTGACAAAGGACGATAGAAACTACTCTAGTTGCCCTAGTCATTTCAACCTTTTGCTTGAGGTGACCTTGGCGAAGTCGTCCGGTTCAACGAGATCAAACGAGTTCTCGGTGACATTTTCCTGTTCAAGAACTTGCAGAATGATCAGATGGACTCTTCGGACGGCACTTCAACCCTAAACCCTAAAACCCTAAACGCCATAAACCCTAAACCCACTCCAACCCCCCTCACGCGAACGGCACGAGGAAAATGCCCAAAGTCCTACTCGTGTTCCGTGTGATGTCGGCAAGGCACGCAACCCTAAACCCTAAACCCTAATCATTCATGCCGGGGCCTGCCTGACGCTTCAGGAGCGCGTCGTGCGCAGTTTCGAGAAGTGCGAGTATTCCAGTGGCCAAGTCGTGGTCGAGCAGGGGGAGGAGGCACTGGGCGCGGGTTCAGGGTTTAGGGTTCAGGGTTTGCAACTGCTAGACTCTTCTTGTACTTGTAATATAAGACCGTATAAGAACAATAGAGTAATACTAAGAAACCAATACTGTTAGATTATAATGAAAGCAACAACTTTTTTAATATATTGCGATCATAAATTGCCAGTATGCTAGCATAGTAACATAATTTGCGTAACAATGCACGAATATCAGAAAAACTATCAATACATAGCAGTTTGACAATATTGGAATACAATAGTACATACTAGTCTAGTATGATATCAGTAAGTCTTAGCATGGTCGGTTGCTACAGTCGCTATAATATAATATAGTCAACAAATACAATATAACAATATAGCAACAGAAGAACATACTAATATGGCATTATGACATTCTGAGAACAATGGAGAATCGCAACAGAGTCGAAGCCAAAGACGAGGCTGTCGGTCTTGGAACATATGCATTTCCCACAAGGAGTCCATTCTCCCCGAACAAAAGGGATCTTGGGGGTTTAGGGTTTAGGGGTGTTATAGTCCTTATTGTAGGACTCCCATAAACCCTAAGCCCGAAACGATGTGGATGTGCCCCAGCTGTGAAGGAGGGGAAAAACCTTAAACCCCAAACAAAACCTGGCTTGGGAAACATGCCCTAAACCCTAAACCCTAAACCCTAAACCCTAAACCCCAAACCCTAAACCCTAAACCCTAAACCCTAAACCCTAAACCCTAAACCCTAAACCCTAAACCATGCCCAGCAACATTCCTGTGGAGGCTAACCACTTCTACCTGATCCAGAGCGGTACCATCGCCATCTTCAGGAGCCCTCTTTATGGGGCCTTAGGTTTTGGGTTTAGGGTTTAGGGTTTAGGGGGTGGGTTTAGGTGCAAAAGGGTGGAGCCCGACACCCCAAGCCCTGTAATGGCGACCTCGTGGCCGAACGCTTGTACTAGTTAATGCCCACTGCAGAAAAAGATGTTGCAGAGGCCAACCATTGCACTTCCCCGAGCCAAGGTGCCCCTTAAAACTCGGATCCTCCCTCAAAAACACTGGGATCAACCTCAAAAAAAGTTCGAAGCCATGAGGCCCTAAACCCTACACAGACCAACGGACCTTGCCTGCCTTGTGCGAGCGTGAGCGACTAAACCCTATAAATCGTAAACCAGTTTCGTTGGGAAGCGCTCTACTTCAGGAATGGGGAGCGACTGCGCAGTCTGCTGAAGTGGGACTACTTTGGAGAGAGAGGCCTGTTGGAGTGGGGGGCCTTGGAGGTTAGAGTGCTTTACACAGGGTTTAGTGTTTAGGGTAGGTTGACCCGAAGCCCTGAACCCTACAACTTATTCGAGTTCGGAACGGCATTCGGGAACTAGGGTCTGCAAGGGCATAGCTCTTCAGCCCCCCCTGAAAACGGAAGGAAAGGTATCCCAACATTCCCCTCTCGACAACCCTTTTGTTGACCCCCTGACTCCCAACCGAGAACCAGCAAAATACGCCAGAGAAGTGTAGGGTTTAGGGTTTAGGGTTTAGGGTTTAGGGTTTAGGGTTTTGGGGGAGTCCGCCAGTCCGACGTCGCTCCCAGGGCAGCATTTTAGAATTGTTGAGCAGCTTTTGCGAGACGGGTAGTTTCCTGAATTCAGGCCCCTCTTTTGGGGCACCCATGAACACATTACAAGGCGGCACCCTTTAAGAAGGGATCCCCAAGAGGGACCCTAATTGATCTCGGGGGAGTGGTGCGTTATACATGACCAGGTGAGGGGCTGACATGAGCAACATGGCTCGCTCTGCTCTGCGCCCGCACTCCTGTAGACGACCTGGCACCATGCAGCTGCATGAGGGTCTGGATGCTTCAAAGAAGCTCCCTGCTCCAGGGAACCCTAAACCCTAAATCCTAAACCCTAAACCCACGCAGCTCCTTCATCGCTATGTCATGTTGCACTCAAGGGGTTCTCAAGCTGAAGGCCTCCCTTGAGTTCAGGCTTCCTGGCTCTTAGTAGGGAATGAGGGAATGAGGTACCCTATGTAATCCCTTAAAGGGTAGAGGGGGAGATAGGGTGCCTAGTTCCCTCATTCCCTCCCCAGAAACTCCAATGTAGTTCCTTTATGGGTTAGCTATACGGGGGATGCTAGTATACTACCCCAAAAAGGTAGTACATACAACCCTAAACCCTAAACCCTAAACCCTAAACCCTAAACCCTAAACCCTAAACCCTAAACCCTAAACCCTATTGGGTAAGAACCAGGGGGAAGTCAGACCTCCGAAGACATCGTAGCCTCACGCCCCTCACGGGTTGGGGCTGAGCACTGCAGGGCTCGGAGGGGCTCATCTTCGTTTTGTTTCCTCTGTAGGCAGGGGCTCCTAAACCCTAAGCCCTAAGCCCTAAACCCTAAACCCTAAACCCTAGCCCTAAACCCTAAACCAACCCTGTGGCCCCTGGATCCGCAAGAATTCCGGGGAAGCCCGAGAGGCCTACTCCTTCAGGAGAACCGCTCCGCAACCTGCCAGGCTTGGATGGGTTTGTTGGGTTTATAGGGTTTTGTTGGGGTTTAGAGGGTTTATAGGTTTTTGGTGGGGTTTAGAGGGTTCATAGGGTTTTTTTGGGTTTAGAGGGTCTCGAGGGTTTTTTTGGGGGGGTTTAGAGGGTTTAGAGGGTTTTTTGGGGGGTTTATAAGGTTTAGAGGGTTTGTAGGGTTTAGAGGGTTTGGAGGGTTTTGGAAGGTTTAGAAGGTTTGTAGGGTTTGTAGGGTTTTGAGGGTTTCTTGCGTTTATAAGGTTTATAGGGTTTAGGGTCTAGGGCTTGAGGGAATCTGGGCACAAAAGGGGTACAGGATTGAACTATGCTGACAGAGGGCCGTAAACATGAGGCATAGAAGACCGCTCCAAGACCATTCCGAGGGCTTCGCTGCCACTTTTTCGCGACACCGGTCGATGCACACCCTAAACCCTAAACCCTCAACCCTCAACCCTAAACCCTAAACCCTAAACCCTAGCCTTAGAAACAGCACAGGGGACCGAGGTGGAATGTCATTTCGTGGAATGTCATGTGGGATGTGATGCGAAAAGGGTTCATGAGTTTGGAGGTTTGAAGACAAATATGTGATATCATGATAGAACATTCGTAAAACCCTGTTTCGATACAGTTGCTAGAGAAACGTACCTTGGTAATCGAAGCGTAGAACCATCAAGACTGAATTTAACTGATATTGTAAGATTACGATTGTGAATTTTGTAAATTGTTCTGATGCCCTACAAATCTGAATCTGTGGTTTCATTTTGATGGGAGAGAGAGCGATTTGGAAGGCCGAAAACCCATGCTTCACCCGGTTTTGGATTTGGGGTTTAGAGTTGAGGGTTTCAGGGTTTAGGCTCTCCAGACCAGGGTGCCTTACTTGGAGGTTCAGGGTTCTTATTGACCAATTATAGCTGCACTTATAGCACGCTTATAAGCCCCTTAAGTGCCCTAACATGGTTAAAAATTGGGAGAGCCAGGGTGCTTAGGCCGTAGGCGAGGGCGCTATGCCCAGGCAAGAATGCAGGGCCCTACAAGGAAACACTCACAGGGTCGTCGATTTTGACGTCTCGTGTGCGTGGGCACCTCTTTTTGGTCCACCTATCGATCTCTCTTGTCGTGCGCACTTTCGAGTACATTGGCGTTTCTCCGAAAAGGGGTCCGCCCCTAATAGGATCCCCAAATGGGTTTAGCCTCATATTATACGAAGCCCCCCTCCCCCCCAAGAAAAACGGAACCCTTATTTCGGGGAACCCCCGACCCCCCCCCCCCCCAATGTTGCCGTTACTATTGGAATTTTCTTTTGGAGCAACCCTAACCCTAAACCCTAAACCCTAAACCCTGAACCCTAAACCCCAAACCCCAAACCCCAAACCCTATAAACCCTAAGCCCTAAGCCCTAAACCCTAAACCCTAAACCTCCAACAGGGGCCATAGACAATGTCTCAGCGGCAATGCAGGCAGAGGAGCCCTCGGTACTCCTGCGGCTGGAAAAAGCCGTTTTTGCGGCTCCTTGGACTATGGTCACGCCTCTAGGGTTTAGGGTTTAGGCTTAGGGTTTAGGGTTTAGGGTTTAGGGTTTAGGGTTTAGGGTTTAGGGTTTAGGCTTAGGCTTTAGGGGTTTTTAGAGGTTCAGGGCCGTCGCAACCCCCTTGCGGATTGGCTCGCGAGTGGTTTAGAGGTTCTTGGGGTGGGCACGGACGGACGGATTGGCGAGCCAAGCAGGCTCCCCTAAACCCTAAACCCTAAACCCTAAACCCTAAACCCTAAACCCTAAACCCTAAACCCTAAACCCTAAACTCTCAAACACCAGAAGAGGAGGCCCCTCCATCGAACTCAAAGGGCTCGTCTATACGGAACATCTGGGTGCAAAGCAACCCTAAACCCTAAACCCTAAACTTCTTCCTGAGCTGCAGAGAGTTGTGCTGGCACATAGAGGGGTTTCGAAGCTTTCGCTTCTGTCATTGCAGTGTGGAGCCTCCAGCTGGATTCCCGGGGCCAAGCTGCCGTCCCTCCAGGGTTTAGAGTTTAGGGTTTCGGGTTTAGGGTTTAGGGTTTAGGGTTTGGGGTTTAGGGTTTGGGGTTTAGGGTTTAGGGTTTAGGCTTTAGGGTTTAGGGTTTAGGGTTTAGGCAGGCTCTCCTCACATGGCTACTACAGGACATCGTTGGCATCTTCAGGAAGGAACTGGAGCATCGAATGATGCTGCAAGACCTGAAAATTGAGCCTTGGAGTTGGGCATTTATGAATTAGGGATTTGGGGATATAGGGTTTAGGGATTTAGGGATTTAGGGGTTTAGGGTTTAGGGATATAGGGTTTAATTATGGTTCAGCGAGGTTAGGGCTGGTTAGAGTGCCTCCCCCCCCCCCCCCCCCCGCCCGATATCCATCCCACCCTCCACTATTCCAGGATACCTATCCTCCTAAGCTCCTAAACCCTAAGCCCTAAACCAACATCTGCAGAAACCCCCTAGCCCAATCCCAGTAGAACCATGGCCTTGCTTTGCCCGCAAAGCGCTTGGGGTCAAAAGGGTTTAGGGCTTCAGGTTTAGGACAGCTGCCGTAAAGAGCCTGGGTTCAGGGTTTAGGGTTTAGGGGTTCAAAGAAAGGGTTTAGGGTTTAGGAAGCCTGGTGCAAAGAAGGGTTTTTGTCGGAACGAACTTATCGAGCGGCCGACATGCCTTGCAAGGAGATGTCCGATTTATACGTCAAGGCTGTTGTCGGAAGAGGCTCCTTTGGGCTGGTCAAGCTGGTCTACCACAAGCGAGACAGGCGACGTGGGCAACACCCAAATATCCGGGTTTAGCTGGGGGTTGAGGTGTAAATGCGCCTTAGTAGTGGGCGTGGGGCAAACGGGCGAGGTAATCTTCCACAGGAGCTGATCTCGTTGCGCAACCAAGGCAGAAGTACTACGCCCTCAAGTGCATCGGCAAAAAGCAGGTGGTGCAGCAGAAGCAAGAGAAGTCAATGCTCCTCGAGCGAGAGATCAACGCTCAGTGCTATCACCCTTGCATTATGCACTTCATCACCACCTTTCAGGACGGAAAAAAAACCCAAACCCTGAACCCTGAACTCTAAGCCCTAACTGTTCTCAGTAACCCCAAACCCCAAACCCCAAACCCGAAACCCTAGTTCTCGGCTCGCCAAATTTGCGCGGCCAAGCTCCTGCGAGGATGCCAAGAACGTGTACTTCTTAACGGAGTTTTTGGGGGGCGGAGACCTCTTTACCGCCATTCGCGAGATTGGGAACCTCAGCAAACGGCAATCTCAGAGCCACAGCTGCAGGGTTTAGGGTTTAGGGTTTAGGGTTTAGGGTCTAGGTGTAGGGTTTAGGGCATTGGGCCTTTGGTGTTCTTGACAGGTTTGGGGTGGTGGTGAACCAAGCATCTGCCAACTTGTTGTAGTTTTGAATGCCTTGCGGTCACCAAGTGACCCATGTGGCAGCAACAGCAAACGCAATCACGACAAACACAGCCCTAAACCTAAACCCTGCGGGCTTTGGTAAGGGGTATATACTCTGGCATCATTCTGCTTCGAAAAGGTGGGATGGTTTCCCAGTGAGTTTCCTATCCGGATCCCTGCCAGCCCGTACACCAGTTGTGACAGTCGGACAGTCGAAACCCCAGAAACCCACCAACATACAGCAAGAAAGCAAGGAGGAGGCCATTGGCTTGACGCCATGGAGGGTAAAAAGCAGGGTTCTGAGTTCTGCAGGCATGAAGAGGGCTACTTCGCATCTTAGTGTTTTTTCCTGCGTTGTCTGTTTTTTTGGACAATATCTTGGGTTGTCCTGCGAACCCCGCAGTAGCCCAAAAAGTTGGCTTCAAGCAACAAAAGCACTAACGGCACCTTCCCCACTCTGTGAAGTTGTTCACACTGGTCACGCAAATCATTCTCGCCGGTTCCGGTGCACGAGAACGATCGTCCCGCGAGAACCTGTTCTGAATACACATGCCGGTGGCTACTAGGACATCATGGGACATACATGCGAGGTTCCCTTTCCCATTCTTTCAACTGGTCGCGCGATCTTCTGCTCGAGAGCGACAATTAATTATTGTCGCCAGCCTGATCGATGGGTCAGAATGGAAAACCACATTTTTTGAAACGCTGAAGCAAAGCAAGCAACCACCACCAACAGCATGACATCTGTGGCCAGTATCGGGTGAGGTTTGGGGGCGTAATGATGCCTGCCTTGTCCCTTTCCAGGCCGAAAACCCTGACCCACGGACTAAGTGTTTGGCATGGATGGTTGGACCCATCGTAAACCATAGCGTCTTTCTGTTTGGGCGTGGTTGATGGGGCAATGTGGGGTCCACCCACCCCCATGTTCGGACGTGGATGATGGTACAACGCGGACGTCGTCACCCAGAACAAAAGACGTGAAGTGAAGACATAAATACCATCTTTATACACAGTTTGCCGATAAAGCCACGAAACAGCGTAAGTAGCGATGTCCTGAGGTCAAGTGCAGTTCTTAAGGGAGGGGGCTCAACGGGGGTTTGTACCCCAAAGTTGCCTAATACTCCCCATTAAACTAAGGCTCCCAAAGCTTCCGTAAGGTTCCTTAGGGACATACCCCCCCCCCATGAACCCCTTTCCTGAAGGACCCCATAACTTCCAAACGGTAACACTCAAAAACCGCTGCAAACTACTAATTGCTTAAGAACCCCCCAAGAACTAAAATAGTATTCTTCCTCATAAGGGCACTACAGGGATGCTTTTATTTTTTTAGTCGGCCGCTTATTCTTTGTTTTTTCGGGTTTAGGTGGGTTTAGGGTTTAGAGTTTAGGGTTTAGGGTTTACTCTTTAAAGCTAAAAAGGGCACCCTTTGTTATTCCCAGGTGACTCTTGGGTCGAGAACAACCATAATAACCAGCAACAGCCTTCCAGCCCGATTACATTCCTACTACATTCTTGAGGCTCCCTGCTTAGGGTTCCCGTTATCATCCGGGTTTAGGGTTTAGGGTTTTAGGGTTTAGGGTTTTCGGGTTTAGGGTTTAGGAGAGTGCTTTGCAGGGTTCCGGGGGTTGCCAGGTTCTTCGGAGGCTGCATTACGCTGGCATTGGAGTACCTTCATGGCCGCTCCATTATGTACCGCGACCTGAAGCCAGAGAACGTGGTCCTTGATTTCAGAGGGAACGCCAAGCTGGTGGACTTCGGATGCTGCAACTAGGCAGGCCCTTTTGAGATATTTTACAAGAGGATCATATTCAGGAATATTTTCCCTCAACCCGCAACCCTTCACCCTAAACCCTAAACCCTAAACCCTGTTCCGAGGCCTTTAAGGGGTTTTAGGGGCCATCCTAGGCGAGTAGGGGTTCTAACCATGACAAAAACGTTTTTACAATGACAAGGGTTTCTTTGACAATGATAGTGGTTTAGGGTTGGCACGATAGAGCGATAGAGCTTCGAGTGAGGCACAAGAGCTTCAATTCAGTCCCAATTCAGTCCCAAATGAGGCCAAGAGCTTCAATTCAGTCCCAATTCAGTCCCAAATGAGGCCAAGAGCTTCAATTCAGTCCCAAATCAGTCCCAAATGAGGCCAAGAGCTTCAATTCAGTCCCAAATGAGGCCAAGAGCTTCAATTCAGTCCCAAATGAGGCCAAGAGCTTCAATTCAGTCCCAAATGAGGCCAAGAGCTTCAATTCAGGCCAAGAGCTTCAATTTAAAATCTCAATTCTGAGGGCTTTGTCACTCCCATGTGGGTCTCGGGGGGGTGGGGGGGCACCCGCAGTGACAGAAAGAACCTGGTTTTGGAGTTTTGGGAGGCCCAAAACCTCAATTCTCAGGTTTTTTTGTCACTCCCATGTGGGTCTGCGGGGGGGGGGGGGGGGGGGGGCACCCGCAGCGACAGAAAGAACCTGGTTTTGGAGGTTTGGGAGGCTAAAAATCTCAATTCTAGGGCTTTTTGTCACTCTTATGTGGGTCTGGGGCGCAGTGAACAGAAGTTTCATGGGGGGGGGGGGGGGGGGGCGCCCGCACGCAGTGACAGAAACACCTGGTTTTGGAGCTTTGGGAGGCCCAAAACCTCAATTTTCAGGTGTTTTTCTGATTCCCATGTGGGGGGCGGGGGCATCCGCAGTGACAGAAAGGGGGGGGGGGGGGGGTATGCAGTGACGAAAGAACCTGGTTTTGGAGCTTTGGAGGCTTAAAATCTCAATTTGAGGGCTTTTTGTCACTTGATGTGGGTCTGGGGGGGGGGGGGTTGGCACCCGCAGTGACAGAAGGAGCTTTGGGAGGCTTAAAATCTCAATTCTGAGGGCTTTGTCACTCCCATGTGGGTCTCGGGGGCGGGGGGGGGGGCACCCGCAGTGACAGAAAGAACCTGGTTTTGGAGTTTTGGGAGGCCCAAAACCTCAATTCTCAGGTTTTTTTTGTCACTCAGAAAGAACCTGGTTTTGGAGGTTTGGGAGGCTTAAAATCTCAATTTTGAGGGCTTTGTCACTCCCATGTGGGTGTCGCGGGGGGGGGGGGGGGGTTTTTGTCTCATCCCATGTGGGTCTTTTCGGGGGGGGGGGGGGGGGGCACCCGCAGTGACAGAAAGAACGTGGTTTTGGAGGTTTGGGAGGCTTAAAATCTCAATTCTGAGGGCTTTTTGAGCTTTGGGAGGCCCAAAACCTCAATTTTCAGGTGAAAAAGAACCTGGTTTTGCTTAAAATCTCAATTCTGAGGGTTTTTTGTCTCTTATGTGGGTCTGGGCGCAGTGACAGAATTTTCATTGGGGGGGGGGGGTTCGCAGTGACAGAATTGGTATGTAAAGGGGGGGGCATCCGCAGTGACAGAAAGGGGGGGGGGGGGCACCCGCAGTGACAGAAAGAACCTGGTTTTGGAGCTTCGGAAACTTAAAAATCTCAATTCTGAGGGCTTTTGTGTCTGCCATGTGGTCGGGGAGGGGTGGGGGGCGCCCGCAGTGACAGATTCGGGGTCGGCGGGGGGGGGGGGGGCCAGTGACGTCTCTGGGGGGGGGGGGGGGGCCGCAGTGACAGAAAGAACCTGGTTTTGGAGCTTTGATGGCCCAAAACCTCAATTCTCAGGTTTTTTTGTCACTCCGTGTGGGTCTGGGGGGGGGGGGGTTGGCACGCGCAGTGACAGAAGGAGCTTTGGGAGGCTTAAAATCTCAATTCTGAGGGCTTTGTCACTCCCATGTGGGTCTCGGGGGGGGGGGGGGGGCACCCGCAGTGACAGAAAGAACCTGGTTTTGGAGTTTTGGGAGGCCCAAAACCTCAATTCTCAGGTTTTTTTGTCACTCAGAAAGAACCTGGTTTTGGAGGTTTGGGAGGCTTAAAATCTCAATTCTGAGGGCTTTTTGTCACTCTTATGTGGGTCTGGGCGCAGTGACAGAATTTTCATGGGGGGGGGGGGGGGGGGCGCGCCCGCAGTGACAGAAAGGGGGGGAGGGGGGGCACCCGCAGTGACAGAAGGAACCTGGTTTTGGAGCTCTGGGAGGCTTAAAATCTCCATTCTGAGGGCTTTTTTGTCACTCCCATGTGGTCGGGGGGGGGGGGGGGGGGGATTGTGGCTATCATGCACTGAGGCACAAATCCTTATCATGGTTAAGTGATTCCTTGTTGTGGTTTAAAAAAATGGGTCCTTATTGCGGTTACGACCCCGCCTCATCCTAGGCAAGAAATGCCTCCAGTCCAGCACCCTGGTGGGCACCCCCGAGTATTTCGCCCCGGAGAGCATCATTGGCAAAGGCCTTTGAGAGATCCGCGGGAGGGGGGAGGTGTAGGGTTTAGGGTTTAGGGTTTATAGGGTTTAGGGTTGGTTGCATGCTGTGAAGATCATGCGGATCTTGCTCGCACCAAGACTACTTCACCCAGAAAGGCGCCTGAAAGCCTTTTTCAGCACCCCAAAAACTGCAAAAACGGACCCTTCTAAACCCTTCATAAACCCTAAACCCCAAACCCTAAACCCTAAACCCCAAACCCTAAACCCTAAACCCTACACCCTAAACCCTACACCCTAAACCCTAATACTCTCGCATGGAAGGCTACACCTGTGCTGTGGACTGGTGGGCCTTGGGGGCCGTCTCCTCAGATGTGTTGGGTTTAGGGTTTAGGGTTTAGGGTTTAGGGTTTAGGGTTTAGGGTTTAGGGTTTAGGGTTTAGGGTTTAGGGTTTAGGGTTTAGGGTTTAGGGTTTAGGGTTTAGGGTTTAGGGGTTAGGGTGTAGGGGTTAGGGTTTAGGGTTTAGGGTTTAGGGTTTAGGGTTTAGGGTTTAGGGTTTAGGGTTTAGGGTTTAGGGTTTAGGGTTTAGGGTTTAGGGTTTAGGGTTTAGGGTTTAGGGTTTAGGGTTTAGGGTTTAGGGGGTTTAGGGTTTAGGCGGTTTAGGGTTTAGGGATTAGGCGGTTTAGGGCTTAGGGTTTAGGGTCTGGGGTTTAGGCGGTTTAGGGTTTAGGGTTTAGGAATTAGGGTTCCATGTCTCTGAAGATGAGAGGCAAGAGCTTGTGCATCGTGCTCCCAGGTCATGATGCACGAGTTCATCGTGGGCCCCCTTCCCTTTGGCGTGCTGCCTAGCAACGGAGTGGGCAAAAAGCCAAGCTTCCCAAAACCCTAAACCCTCTTGTCCCACGAAGGTCGAGACACTGATGACCAACTCCAGCTTTTAAAGGAGATTATGGAGGCCCAAGGGTCGCCATGCTCTGTGACGCCTCGAAGGAGCCTATGCACGCTTGGTCCTGCTGCTTTGCTCAGGCGCCGCTGGCGTTCCCCAGCTACATCACTGACAAGACCGCCATCAGCCCTCTGGCCAAAGTTGTCCGAAAACCCTAAACCCTAAACCCTAAACCCTAAACCCTAAAGAAAAAACTAAACTGGGAAGCTTCCGTCGGCTTGCGAGTCTGAGCTTCTTTCACCACAAGCCTTGGCCACATTGAAGAGAGCCCACACAGCAGCAAACCACAGCACCTCGCCACGTCTATGCACATGTGCTTGTGGATATGCATTCAGAGACATATTTCGCGGAGTTTTGTGCGCACACACACACAAATGTGAAAGGCCACCGTAGAATGCACGCAACCGGTACAGGAAACAAGCAAACTATTCGATCACACAGCTTCCCGTACACCACAAACAGGTAAGTCACATGGGCGCACATGATACGTTTATTAACTTTGTCAAAATGTATATATATATATATATATATGCGTATCTGCGTTTTGCTCTTCCAAACTGTACATTCTTTCGGTTCTCAGTTTCTAAAGAGCAGGCGCCCCGATCAAATAAATCCACCGGCCATGCGAGTCCGGAGAAGAGTAGTGACCACATGTGAAACTGCCGTTGGGTCAAAATGGGTCAGCCTATTCGGGAACCCTAAGTAAACCCTGTCCACCCATGTCGGACATGGATACTTGCTTGGCAGCTAAACCCTACACCCCAAACCTAAATCCTAAACCCCAAGCCCTAAACCCTAAACCCCAAACCCTATAACCCTGAATCCTAAACCCCAAACCCTAAACCCTAAACCTGTTTCGGCTGAGGCTTGATCACCCAGCTCTTGGAGAGGACCCCCGAGCTTCGACTAGGAGCAGGATCACGCGGCGCGAAGGACCCAATTTCGAACGGCACGTGGAGTTTGGGCGGTTTAGGTTTAGGGTTTAGGGTGTAGGGTTCAACTTCTTAGAGGGCTTGCAGTGAGAGGTCGAGGCAGTGCAGTGTGGCAGGTTTAGGAATTTGACGCGTTTATTGACGAACCAAAGGCAGCGGCGCAGCCTATAAACTTCATAATCTCTAAGACAGCCCCTCGCTTTCTGATTGCTGTCAAACCCTCAACTCTTCAACCCTAACAAATAATGAACCCTACCTGGCGCTCTCTTTGCCTACAGCTATATGGGTTCTACCTACTCATTCAGGGTAGTTTCTGCTAAGCTGTAGGTAAATAGAGTCCCCAGATAAACCCTTCAGTTCGCAAAGTGTAGAATCACAGCGCAAATCCCCCCCCCCCCCCCCCCCCCCCCCCCCCCCCGTAGGCTGTGAAGTCCGACCGCCCAAGCCAGGACCTGCAAGATCATCCGTATTTTTCAGGTCAGCGGCTGAGAGGGTTTAGGGTTTAGCAAAAAGGGTTCAGGGAATGCAGTAGGCCTGAGCACTCACGTGTCCTGCATGGCAAGGATTTAGCTGGAATGCGCTGGCGGGACAGTCTATGCAAGCTCCCTGGTTGCCGGACAGACGGAAGATACAGGCGTCGCGGCGTTGACATGTGGACCCTAAACCCCTGTCGTCCCCTAACGTCCCTAACTTTGACCTTGAGCCCAACACCCTAAACTCCGAAACCCTGCCACCTCAGCGCGACCTCCCTTGAGAGGAGTCTTGGGAGATTCCTCCTGATGCCGGCCAGCCAGTGTGCCCGGAGGTCGGAGGGGTGATGAAGGGTGTGGTTCGGGAGTCGGAGAGAGAACGGGGGTGAGGGGTGCAGGGATTTTTCAGCTCTGGGTTTCAACTCGGTGCTCAAGCTCTCTTGTTGGACCATTGTTGCTTGGGCGGCTGTAGTAGCAAGGCCCAAGGCTACGACCAAGCTTCGAAACCTTGAGCCAATACTAAGGTGGCCAACGAGGGCTCACACTCCCTGGATCCGGCTATGGACGCTGGGCAGGAGACTGCTGGGGGGTGGGGGGGCCCTAAACCCTATAAACCCTATAAACCCTATAAACCCTCTAAACCCTCTAAACCCTCTAAACCCTCTAAACCCTCTAAACCCTCTAAACCCTTTAAACCCTACACCCTAGAGGGCCCCTTGGGCAAGCCTCTGTGCACGGGAGGGCCGGGGAGTGATCCTTCATGCTCAAGCAGCATGTTGCACTTGACCTGGGCCTCCGCAGAAGGTCAGATTTCTAGGTCGAGCCTTGGGGACGACATGAACCCTAAAAGGGTTTATGGTTCGGGATTCTAGTAGTATGACCCCCAATTTTAGGGTTCATTTGGTCCCCAAGGAGTGTGCTATCAACGGCAGTTTCTCGTGATACCCTAAGTGGTTCACCCCCCTCTTCTCGAATCTCAAAACCGGGATTGCTGCTCGGAAAGATGTTCATCAGCATGGAGCTGTCGCTCGTGATATCCTTCCAGAAACCTTAGTAAAGGGTTTAGGGTTTAGGGTTTAGAGTTTAGGAACTTTAAGTATAGAATCCTAAAGCCCTGGTTGGATGTGCGCCTTTGCGGCTCAAGGCTTTATGGATTTGGGCTTCGGGGAGGCTGGTTTAGGGTTTAGGGTTTACGGTCTAGGGTTGAGGCTCCGTGGCATATCACGCGAGAGACGAAACTCTTGTGGCCAGGGTTTTCGGTGGGCCTAGCTAACCAGGACTCTAAACCCTAGCGATTAAACCCTAAACCCTAAGAGGTGCGAGAAGTTTGCAGGTAATGGCAGCTAGCTGTTGCACCGCAGTGGGGGACAGGGCAAGCTCCTGCACGGTTCTTGTACAGCAATAGAATCCCAAATCCGCCCTCAGAAGTAGGCGTGCGTGGGGTTTTCTTTCCGCCTGCCATTTCTCGCATCGCCCTCAGAAGTAGGCGTGAGGCGTTACACGTGTACAGGTGTCTTGACTTTCGGATGAGATCCCAAATGTCTAGTAAATAAACTACCCAAAGTGCCCCTACATTGCCCTTCATCCTCATGGTTTTATAGGGTCTGCAACTGGAAGATGCTGATACCTGTTTTGCCTGCTCAGGAATGGGCCAAGGACTTCTGATCGTCCAGCGTCGCCTAGAGAATTGCACGGCGGGTCCAATGATGCCCGCTGCGAAGCTCATTCGGACTGATGGCGGGGCGCGCTCTTGAAGACCCAGACCAACAAACAAACCTGTTGCGCAGATGCTTTCGCGAGTCAGTCCCTCTGTATCACGAACAAACCTAGAGGAGAGGAACTCCTCAGGAGCCTTCTGTCCTCCACACCTGATTTGAGCATTGGCCTCGATGTGTTGGGCACACCCGCGTAGGTTTCAGTTGAGGGAATCTTGGTGGGTATCTTGAAGTGCATCGAAGGGGCATTGTGGCATAATATAGGGGTCGGAACAGTGACTGAGAATATTCCCTTAGGGTCCCTATATGAATATACTATAATGACCCTCCCAAAACTCTATTCTAGTCATTCAGGCCCCTATATGAACACAAGCTTCCAACATGTCTGAGGATGTGCTCCATTCCGCACAGAGCCACCATTGAGCAGAGACGCCGCCATTGTGCCAGCCAGCATCAAATCGAGACAGCACACTCTACTCTTAGGGTTTAGGGTTTAGGGTTGAGGGTTTAGAGTTTAGGGTTTAGGGTTTAGGGTTTGGATTTAGGGTAGAGCCCTGGGAACCGCATGTCGTGTGGAAGAAGTATCCAATGACGGCGAAAAATAACTTGGCCGCGCTGAATTGGCGAACCAAGGACCTCTGCTGTCGTAAACCCTCTCAGCAGCTTGAGCCAGAGTCAACGCTCCTAAATGGGAGTTCCCCTGTACTTGGACACCCCTGTATACCACCCAACATAGAGTAGTCCCCTTAGAAGCCCCTTTCCCCCCCCTTCCCCCCCCCCCAGGTCTTACCAGAGCGCAGCACCCAGGTTTGACTCCAGCTCACGTAGTCATGTAGATGTATATGAACATGGCGGGGGCCTAATGGATCTTCTGATGACGCGCACGTTATTGTGCAGTCATGGCGACAAAATCGGGCGCGGCTCGCGTAGAACCAGGAGAGCATGACGAAACGGTTTTCAGATGTGTCAGAACCTCCAGAGGCAAACCAGAGTACGCCCCTCCTGAGCTACTACATCGTACTGTGCATGCTTCATGCTTAGGGTTTAGGTTTTAGGGTTTAATTAGGGGGTTTGGGGGGTTTAGAGGGTTTAGGGGTTTAGGGGTTCAGGTTTAGGGTTTAGGGCGACGCCACACCCTCAGCCCCAAGTAATAGTGGAAGCCTTCACACTACAGGCTCGCAGGATGTGTCTCTCAAGAACTGCCATCGAGTCAGAACACGATACATCTGCAGCCTCTGTACATTTGAGAGCACTGCCCCCTCCGCACATTTGAAGTGCACTGCTCGCGCCTTGCAGGGGGCCTCAGTGGCTCTTCGCCTCAGTGGGATTTGGGCTTCGATGTGAAGAGGGTCCAGAGAGAGAGAGAGAGAGAGAGCGCGAGAGAGCGAGAGAAAGCGAGAGAGAGAGAGAGCCCCATAGACGAAGAAGAAGAAGAAGGAGGAGAGAGAGAGAGGGAGGTGGGGGTAGGGGTGATTTCCAGAGGCATTTCTTCCCCATCAGTGCCTTAGTCCCAACCGAGAGGCCCCGATAGTGTCACATAGCCGCGCCGAGCCAAACGAAAAAAGCAGAAGCCGAGCCAGGCGCGGGGCGTTAGAGAGGGAGAGAGAGAGAGAGAGCGCTCCCTTCGGGGACTACGTGTGCAGGAAGAAGAAGTGAAGGAGGAGGAGGAGGAGGAGGAGGAGGAGGAGAGGAGAGGAGAGAGGAAGTCGCACCTCGCTGCCACCTAAACCCTAAACCTTAGCAGGGTTTAGGGTTTAGGGTTTGGGGCTTGCGAGCTCGAGGGCCCAATTGGCGATGCAGCGCTGGACTTTTCTTGCCAGGGCTGAGAAGCCCTACCCGCTCCTCAATCAAAAAAAGTCAGCAGGGGAGGAACGGATTTTCACACAACAGGACGGCAGTAAGACTCCGCGAAGCCTTCAATGTTGAAGAAGAAGAAGAAGAAGAAGAAGAACAAGATGAAGAATAAGAAGAAGGGAGAGAGCGCCCACCCGAGGGGGGGGGGGGGCAAAGTGTGCGGAAGAAAAAGAAGACGAAGAAGAAGAAGAAGAAGAAGAAGAAGAAGAAGAAGAAGAAGAACAACAACAATAAGAACAAGAAGAATAATAATAAGAAGAAGAAGAGAGAGAGAGTGAGAGTGAGAGTGAGAGTGAGAGTGAGAGAAGAAACTGGAGGATGTTACGGTGTTAGGGCCAATTGCATCGGGTGTAGGATCGACTTTGCTTGACCAGCAGAAACCTGAGGCATCCAGGATTTGGGGGGTTGGAGGAAGGTCCCGGTGCCTGGCGATTGAAGCCTTGGCCCCTTAAACTACCCCCGTGGCAGGTTGTCAAAGTGAACAGCCAGCCCGCGCAGCCAAGAAGCAGGCTCAGTCTGCAAGTCTGTGCATCTGTGGCTAGGATGCCCAGTAGTACCCTTATTCCCTTTTTGGGAGGTTTAGGTTCCCTTATCAACCCCTTGAAGCAAAAAAAGGGCACCCAAAGCCTGGGTTAACTGGGCAGCCTGGGTGGCGAAGGGTTCTGTTACGCCTGTGCCGGATCTGACCCATCTTCTCACAGAGGCTCACGACTCCTAGCCCGCCTTCCCTGCCGCTGCTTTCTTAAGGCGTCAAAACTTCCGTTTCACCTCGGAAGTTCCGAAGGAGCACCGAGAGATTAGCCAGGAAGTCCCATGCCCATCCCAGATGATCCTGGGGAGGGGACCAAGTCTGGGAATGCCTGGTTGCTGCAAGCCCTGGACATCAAGTTCGCGGAGCAGGAAAGAGCCTCGGGAGGCCCTTGGGACATTTTTATACTTTCCCCTATTGGGTTTAAGAGGCTCATATTCTAAACCCTAAACCCTAAACCCTAAACCCTATTCAGGAATATTTTTCAGAGGGTTTTATTCTGGGGCATCCTAGGAGCCATACACCATCTCCTGGACCAGGTCCTACGCGATCTGAGCCTTGGGAGCCCCAGTGGTACCCTAGGTACCCCTCTTTTGGGGTTCTGGGTTCCCTTACAAGGTAGCCCTAAACCTTAAACCCTAAACCCTAAACCCTAAACCCTAAACCCTAAACCCTAAACCCTAAACCCTAAACCCGAACTAGAAGATGGTTACTGGGCTACTCAGGAACTGGGTTCCTGAGCGCAACAGCGGAGCCCTTGTGGAGAAGGAGCCGGTTTTTGAGGTCAAAGACCTCGACGCTGTACATGTCCGCCCAGCTTCTTAGGGATACCTGGAAATCATTTTTGATTTCTTGCCTACTTTAAGGATACTTGGCTATCATTTCTGATTTTTGGGTACTTTGATTCTGAAGAAACAGTAAACATTCAGAATATTTGCCCGGGCTCTAAGTTCAGTATAGGCTTTGCAGATTGAGGACGCCCTGGACTCCGGTAAGGAGGTGGCAAAAAGCCCCTCGAAAGGTGCCCGCCACCGAACTCTCATGGGGACCCAGGTGGGTGGCTGTCAAAGTGCTGATCCCTTTTGGGGTACCCTAAATATGAAAAGGGTGCCGTAATCAAATAGGGGTCCAAAAAGGGACCAGAATTTTGACAACCACCCAGGTGATGAGTGAGCGTTGGGCCCCGGATCCTCCTCTGAAGTCCTTTGTCAAGGGGCCGCTGGATGGCTACATGGGCGTGGTGGTGATTGTGAACCTTACCTTTGCCAAGAGTTGTCCTTGAAGGTTTTTGGGCTTCCTTCTTTAGTAGGAATAATGCCGTTTAGTCTCCCTTGCCCCTTGAAAATTTGGAGAATTAAGGAACCTTGTCTTCATGATCATCATGACCCAGTGGATGGGCTCAAAAGCCCACGTCACGCTAGGCCTCTCTGAGACGAGCGACTGGAACCTCACCGCGCATTTCTTCGAGATCTCGGAGTTTCTTATTGTTGGTTAGGGGATGAGGGAATGAGGTACCCTAGATTCTCCCTGAAAGGGTATATATTAGGGGGATATGGGGTACCTGCAACAGTAAGGTTTGTGTTTTTCGTCCTCTTCCTCCTTGACGTGTTGATCCGGATCTGGGTGCTACGGCGTGAGTGGTATTTTGACAGCCGGGAGGGCTTCATGTACCTGAACGTCTTCGACGCCTGCGTCGTCTTCGTGAATGCTTTCGAGTTGCTCATTCTGCCCATGTCGCTGGCTCAGTTAGGGTTTAGGGTTTAGGGCTTAGGGTTCAGGGATCATCCTGATCTGCCTTTGCAATCTACAGAAAAGAATAGGGATCAGATTTCAGAAGCTGGTACAGCTGACCAGCGGTGGCCCAGCTAAGGTTGTTCTTCGGAGCTAATCAGGAGCAGCATGCTAGCAGCATCCGGGTGATCAAGCTGATGCGCATCGTCCGCACCCTGCGGATTGTCAAAACGGTGACCCTCTTCCGACAGTTGCGGCTGCTGGTTGGTACCTGCATAGCAAGTATCGGGGCATTGTTCCTATATCCCCCTTGGGAACTTTTCTTATTTTTGTTTTCATAAAACCCAAGAGGATATTAAACATACTATTTTTTTCAGGTTCTAAGGCGAAATAAACCCAAGAGGATAATCAAAATACTATTTTTTATTAAGGTTCTAAGGGGGAGTGGAGGTTCTGGTCGATGGTCCTGCTGATGGTGCTCAAGGTGGGCTTTGCGCTGATCATCTGTCAGGCCCTACAGGCGTACATCATGGATGAGGAGGCCGATCTGGTTGAAGAGGGCCTTTTTTTTTTTTTCAAACAGAGGGGTTTAGGGTTTAGGGTTTAGGGCTTTTTAGAACCCTCTTCTACATCATGGATGATGAGGCAGATCTGGACACACGACTGCTGGTCAACAACCTCTATGGCGACTTCGGAAAGGCTTTCTACACGATGTTCCCTGGGGACCGAGTGACACCCTAACATTGAGGGCATATGCCGTACAATGATAAGAATAACAATACTGATAATAATAAAAACATCCCAATTCGGGTACCATGAACTTTAAGCCCTGTATTCCTATTAAGGCGCATGAACCATACACACCTGTTTCTCGAACCCTAAGTCCGATATTTACTCTTAAGGCAAGATGAACCCTAAAACCACCTTGTTGGGGGGGTCCCGAATTGCTCCCCCAATTTGGGGTCACGCACTCCTCCATTATAATTCCGATTAAGATAATGAACCCTCTACACCCTTTTAGGGTTCGCACTCCGCTATAACTCCTATGAAGATATGAACCGTCAAAGCCCCCTTTTGGGGTTCCGAATTGCTCTATAATTACTATTGAGATACTAACCCTCTAAGCCCCCTTTTAGGGTTCCGAAGTGCTGCCCCCCCACCCAAGGTTCGAGGTCACCCACTCCGGATCGTGGCCTTCAGTTGTCCGGCCCATTGTCGACAGGGTGGATGCATGGTATGCGTTGCCATTCCTTACATACATCACGTTGGTGGCTTGGGCAGCCTTGCGGTATGCATGGTTTTTTTTTGTTTGTTCTAGGTTCCCATGCGAAAGTAACCTGCCCTTCTTGTGACATGGTTTCTGGGCTACCAAGGTGGTCTTTGCAGTCATAAGGAGCCATGGCTATGAGTCGTGCGTCATGTCTCTCCCTGCTCTACTTCACGATGCAGCATCTCACAGCATCTCTCGTTTCCTACAAACTTTCATTACCGTATGCATATATATATATGTACATATATATATATATATATGTGTGTGTACAATCAGGGGGCACAGCTTTTCTTCTAACCCTGGTCGGAATTATCCTTAACCAGCTAACCGCGACATTTGGCTCAAGATGCTGCGCATACCGGCAAAGCCGGGGATGCTGGAGGGGTAACCATGCGACAATTATTTCACATGTTGGAACCACCCACCCACACACGCGCCGTGTGCAGGCTTTCCGTTTCCTCCATGTTTCACCGGATGGCTGCTGCTTCTTTTGGGTTCTGCTGGTAGACTCCTTGCCCGCCCTCCGCCCTGAGGTGCCACCGCATCTCGCGCAAGGACAGAAGGCGCAGGTTTTCTCTGTTTCTTACGTTTTTCTGCTTGAACAGCAAGATTCACTGGGGCTGCCCGATGCCCGGCTGCCAAGCTCCCCAATCAGGATCGATTGCACGCAGTTGCTGCCCACATCGAGGTCTATCAGCCTGATGAAACTCCCTCGTTTCTGCGCCACATCAGGCTTAGGGGTTCTAAGAAGATGAGCGCCAAGACTGGTGAGACTCAGCTCAAGCAGCACCGGAAAGCCTTGTCCCAAAAAGCATCGTTCGCGTACGGCTGCCGCTGTGCGCCTGGGATCAGGCTGTTAAAGAAGCCTTGGATTTTGCCAGGACGCAACCGAACTTCAATGGCGACGTCCTTGTCTATGTTCAAGATAGTTGGGGCGGTGTCCGTGAGCTGCGTACGCGTCTGTTCTTGGAGGCCCTTCACAGGCTCAGTCAAGTGTGTGCGCACGGACTCTGAACAGGTTGAACGAAGAGATCAGACGTCCAATGCGGGCTTGAAGCCAAGGGTAAACCTGCTGTTCTTGAATGAGTTTCCGTAGTGGGGAACAACTCTAGAGTGGGCAGCAACATCCTGGCGAAGCTCAGCGACGCATGCCGTGCCGTCTTGCTACAAGGAGAGGCTCCCGAGTTACAAGCGTGTTTTTTTTCACTTATCAGTCTATTCGAAATAACTTCATAAGCTTGGTAAGTCACTTTGTAAGTTCGATCAGCCACGATAGAAATTGGATTTGAAAATCCAAACTAGTCCTGATGCCATAACCTAGTTATGCAACTTCATAGCCAAAAAAGCAAATCAGTTCGAAGGTATACAAGTTAGCTCGAAAATCTTAGGAGTTTGTTGGAACGGGGTTCCTGTATGACAACTCATATACGAGATGCATATAGGGGTATGTGAACCGAAAAAAATAGTGGGGTTTCTCAGGGTTTTCTTGAGGAATGCGATTTCATTGCTAGGCAAAAGGAAACAAGTTTCCGTTCTATTTTCAACATGTATGCACGAGGCTGCAGCAGCTTTGTAGGATGCCCTGTGGCTTGCAACAACAAAGCGACGGTCGACCCTCGCTGGTCCGCAAGCTTTGGCCGGGCTGGCATAAGGTTCTTTGAGTGCCCAAGCCTTGCAAAAGCTGTGGCGGAATGGAAGAGCTGAAGCAACTCAAGCAGCAACAGGTTAAACAAGAGCAATCTGATGCGCAGAAGGCTTATATGCTGGAAGGACCGTGTGTGCAAAGGCACCTTTGGTCACCTCGGTTGCTGGCTTAAGCGCCAGAAGCAAACTTGTTTTAAAGTGTCATGCTGTGTGGTTCGAAGGGTGAAGCAAGCCGACGATAGGATCAAAGCTGCCAAGATGGTTCATGATTTCTGGACTGCTGTTGGGATGCAAGAAAGCGTAGCACACTTGACGCTGCTGAGGCTGCTGTTAGTCTTGGTGATCAGTTTTGTCAGTGTCGCAGTAACCTCCTTCGCAGATGGCTGGGATGGATATGAGGTAAAGTACATCCCTGAACAAGCCATTCACTGCTTGCATGAACGTGTTCTTGGACTACGGAAGGTCAGCCGCCACAGCAAATGCTACAGCCCATTTTGCCTAAGCCTGACGAAACCCCTTTCGCCAGCACTCTCCTGCCTGCTTGGACCTCAGCGAACCTTGTCAAACTCAGTTTGCTGGGGACTTTTCCCAAGCCGTGGATAGAATGAACCCCCGCCCTTCGGCCGGCTTCCCTGCCCTCCTCCAACTTTGCCTGGGGTGAGCAGCGGAGACACATGCAGCGGAGCTGGCAACCTGCTTGGAATTTCTTAAGCCAGCCGGGCTGTCCGCGATTGTGGCTGCTGTTTTAATTATAGTCCTGGAGTCAAGGCTAGTGAAAATAAACAGAATTTCCCTGCTGATGTCTCTGTTTACATGGACAATGGCTTGCAATTAAGAGCCGCGCGGACGCGTAGGCGGCATGGAGTTCATGCGTGGGGGCTCTCAGAGAAAGCATCAAGTTTGCGCCCGCGAGCTTGCTAAGCATTGCCCTCAAGCCTGGATTCGTACTGCCACTGTGCAACCAGGTAAAGAAAGCCGTACCGAGACAGATATGATCACTGCTGCTGTTCAAACTGCTGCCGCCTTGCTTCACTCGGTGCCGCTCACCTGGCGTAGGAAAACTCGCTTTTCGATTCTCGACGCTTTGTCATCAGTAAGGCCTCCTACACCGACGGTGGGGGCGACCGCTGTTTTTCAAGCCAAGCGTACTGTGCGGCGTAAAGGAATTTGCGTGAAACGCTCCACGGAGCTGGGCTTGACCTCTCCCTTATCGTTGCTTGTAGGACTTCTTGCTAAGGTTTGTCTTCTTGGAAGTAGGTTTTTGGGAGTGGACTATCCCACCGAGATGGGCTCAGCTGATGAGTGCACAGTGAACCTAGAAGATGCTATAGTGTGCTCAACTGCACGCATTCCGGGCTCAGTTTCGTAGCCAATCTTTGATGAGTCATGAGGCCGCTCCGCAGCTAACCTCCATAAGCTGTGGGCTTTGAGTCAGCCAGGTCACGGTGCGGTTTTGCTTGCTTGCGTCGTTCCCCCAGTTAGCTTGCCCGGGGCCACGCACGAACTGGGTTCTTGGCGACGCATTGCCTGCAGTTGCCCTTGCAATCTCTTACCTGTTGGTCTCTTCCCTCCACAAAATGCGCCGCTTTTCGGTAGGCTTGGAAAGATGATCCCACTGCGACCTCGCATTGGCTCATATGGGCTGCTACGGTCATGCCCTGTGGAAAACCTGATATGAGGACGGTAGGCTTTTTGCCTGCGTGCTTTGTCTTGCTCCAGCTCGGGAGCGTGTTTTTCCGAGACCGCCTCTGCGGAGCCCGGAGTTTCCGTAGGGAAACCATAAAAACGAAAAGAACCCATTTTCAGGGACTCTTGGCAAAACTTTTGTAGAATCCATCTTGTCTTGATGTTGCGTGCCTTCGGGCCTTCTGGGATTCTGGGCTTCAGTACTGTTACTCGCAAAGCGATAGGGGCCCACCTGAGGGAGCTACTGTCAGGCTGCCAATCTGTGTTTGTGCGGTGCTAATCCTCGAATCGGCAGGGGCCCACCAGGCATGCTGCGCAACGTTCAGTCAAGACAGGTTTTTGCCCGCCGCTCATCTATACATATATATATATATGTAGGTATGTATGTATGCTTGTATACGTAGATGTGAATCTATGTAGATGAGGTTGTCGGGTGGCACGATGATATCTGATAGGGCCTTCAGTCTGATGGTCGATTGTCTAAATCGGTAGGGAACCTCCCAAGCAGGGCATGGTCGGTGCCCGGAACACAATATTCCTGACTATCGGAGTGTCTGGCCTGCTCGTGTGACCACATTGAGAGTCTAAGGGTGTGAGAGTCTGGTCTGCTCATGCCAGTTTGGCTGTTCAATTCTTTGCGAGTTTGGCTTGTGCGGCCCTGTCCCCCCCTTCTTCTTCCCCCAAATAAAAATCCTGGCACCCCGATCGCGCGCTACCATCTCGCTCTCTCTCTCTCTCTCTCTCTCCCTCTCTCTCTTTGTGCCGGTCCGCCTGACTCTTTGCCTGTTTGTCCGTCTGCTTTTGTTGCTTTTGTTCTTTGTCTCTCTCGCTCAATCTCTCTGGCTGTCTCTTCCGGTGCCACAATATGTGTACAGACAAAGAGTCTCTACACTGTACACATGCAAGGATTGTTACCGCTCTCTTCCTCAAGGAGACCCTGGCCAGTGCCGCAACTAGGACTCGGAGTAGGCCTCCCTCCTACTCCCCTTAAAATAAAAAAGGGCACCGGTTTATTCCTGGGTTACTCCTGGGTCTAGGCAAATGATGCTGACATGGTCACGGAAGACAACCGCCGCCTGGCCCGTGACTTAGGGACACTTGGAAATATGTTCTTTAGTTTTTGGGCACTTGAACTCCTAAGAAACAGCTAAAATTATGATTTTTTGCCAGGGTTCCAAGTTCGTATAGGTGATGCTCAGAACAAGTTAGAAGAGCTGTTCTGCGCTGCGGATGATGATGGAGATGGCAACCTCTCGAAGGAAGAGTTTGTTGAAGCAATGAGCCTGCCTAGCGTGCAGGGCTTTCTGACGTCTCTAGACGTTAGCATTCGGGATTGCCGCCCGCTCTTCGACATATTGGACGACGGCGATGGTCTAATCACTATTGCAGAATTCTGCAAGGGCCTGATGCAGCTCAAAGGGCAGGCACGTGCCTTGGATATCGTCGTGCTGCAGCGAGAGAATGCCAAGCTCATGAAGGAATGCCAAGAAATCCAGCGGTCGCTCCAGTCAATTTCTGAGTTTTGTGGGAGGCGTGTAAAGTAAGGTCTCAAAGAGACCAATGACCAATACTTCAGGTTTCCGAACAGGCGTCGCAAAACAAGTTGCTTGCAAGGGGGTCCAATTGTTGCGCACGATCCTGGCTTCACCATTGGCGTTTACGGCCGCTCATGAAGCCTATATTTGTCGAGATGCACTGTGGGACACTCTTCTGCTTTCTTCCGACCCAGTCGCATTGGCTCACCTGTCCCCTAAGGGGCCCGTAGATCAGGTTGACTTCTGCGATGGTGAAGGCCAGTCCCCGGAAGCTCTCGGAAGTGGAATGGCTGGAGTTCCAGGAATGGTTGCGACAGCAACTGGAGCAGAGGTTCCAGGAGCAGGAGGCTAAGATCAGAGACTTAGCAGTAGAGTAGGTAACCTTTAACCTTTTTGGGGTAATAGATTCCCCTTATATTCCCAAAGGTTATCCTTTAAAACCCCTAGGTACTGGACAACTAAGGAGAAGTCATTGATGGCACCATGTCCCGAAGCTGGCGAATGGACGAGGCGCGGGCGCGCGTCATCAGCGAGTTTTCTTCAAGGAACACCTTGGGAACGGAGGTGGGGACGAGAGCCTGGGACGGAAAAAAGGGCTCCCAAGATTTTGTGGGGCTGCTTGGAGGTTGAGGATACTTAGAACCCCAAGTGAAGCTGCACTTATAAGCCTCCTAACTCCCCTAAGTAGGTTCATGGGGTTCCAGAAGTAACCATTAAAACCTGCAAGTGAGGGATGCCTAGGGCTTGCAAACTTGCGCAAATGCCCGCAGAGCCATACCCAAAGATCCCAGGCCATGGAGTGAAGGGTGGTGTAGGGTTTAGGGCTTCTATATCCCCCCTCGGGAATTATTTTCATTTTTATTCATATAAAACCAAAGAGGATATTAAAACTATCATTTTTATTAAGGTTCTAAGGGGAGACAGGCTTAGGGTTGAGAGAGTTTTGGTTCAAAAGGGTTTCGGGTTTAGGGTTAGATTGGATATAAGACAGGTTGACAGTTGGGCCCCAACGTCGGCACAAGGGCTTACATTCTTCTGGCTTTGGAGGACTCGGACTTGCCTGTGGAGCTTGTCCGGTCTCTCGGTGAAAGGCCTAAACCGTGTCAGCATCGAATGTTTCGGGTCTAAGGCACCTCCTTGGCCACTGTGCGAGTGAATGAGGAGCCAGACGAGATACTAGGTAGGCCCTTGGGACATTTTATATTTTCCCTTATTTGGGTTTAAGAGCATCATATTCTAAACCCTAAACCTTTTTCAGAGGCTTTTGGGGGCCATCCTAGGATAGAGTCTCCTACATCCCCTCAGTCGGAGGGGCGGAGTCCACAGGCCCACGTCACTCGCATCTTGGGCAAGGACGTACCTCGGTAGGCACTTGGGATATTTCCTATATTTCCCTATATTTCCCTATATTTCCCTATATTTCCCTTATTGGGTGTTTAAGAGGACTCAGGAATATTTTTTGAGAGGGTTTTTCAAGGGGCCAGCCTAGGTGGTGAGGGAGAAGTTGAAAGCAAACCAGCCCTTCAAGACCTTCGTGAAGAAGCTTGGTGGCCCAGAATGGTAGCCTTTACCCCTTTTTTGCTTTTCGGCTCCCTTGTAAAGTAACAACCCCCCCCCCCCCCCCCCCCCCCAAAAAAAAAAAAAAAAAAAAGTCCCTTATTAGAGTATGGTGACTGGGCTTCTCAGGACCCTAAACCCTAAACCCTAAACCCTAAACCAGGAAGGGCCTCGACTTTTACATGGCCCTGGTGGTCATTGCCAACCTCGGCTGCATCATTGCCATCACGGAGTGGACGGTGCATCAGACAGACCTCCCTAAACCCTAAACCCTAAACCCTAAACCCTAAACCCTAAACCCTAAACGGCCCTAAACCCTAAACCCTAAACCCCTAAACCCCAAAACCCAAACCCTCAACCCTAAGGTGCATCAGACAGACCTCTCCCTGGGCCTCACAGATTTGCCATGGCAGGGTGTGTCCATGGAGACCTTCGAGCTTCTGGAGTATGTCTTCTTCGGCATCTATCTTCTGGATGTGGTGGTGCGCATGGCAACTCTTCGCAGGGAGTGGTACTTCGACCAGATTGAGGGCATCATGTACCTCAACATCTTCGATGGAGTGCTCGTCTTGATGAACCTCTTCGAGTTGCTGGTGCTTCCCGCGCCACCCGGTCCCGAAGTTTCAGTCAGGGAGTAGCACCAAGAGACTCTGCGGCCCCCCCCCAAGCTTCGCGCACGAATTCGAGGGGCACCATGTGGTGCCTTTCAAGTGCGAGTTTCGGTTGAGGGTGCGAGGTGTTTTTGTGGTGATGAGGCAAAAGGTACTGGTTGGTGGGGGCTTAGGCCTTGCAGTGTTGTTTTCTTTTCTTTGGGGGGTGAGGCTTTGGGGCATCGATAGAGTGTGCGGGTTTCTTTTCGGGCCGGGGTCTCTGTGGCATAGGCTATTGCCGAGTGCGAATTGAGGGGTAGAATGGCTTGTTGAGGGTTGAAGTCTTTGGGCCTTCGACTAAGGGCACACGGTTTTGTTGAATGTTTTTTTGGGAGGTGATGCCTTTGGTGCATTGACCTTTTGGGGGGGGGGGGGGGGGGGTGAGGTTTCAGGGGCATCGATAGTAGAGTGCAAACTTTCTTTTTGGGGTGAGGCCGTGGGGCATCGATTTTGGTTGCAAGGAGATTGGTACTAACAGTCCTTACTAGGGATTATAGTTCCCCAGCTATTAGAAGCCACATTAAGGACTGCTACTATAAGGGGGAACATCCTAAATAGCCAATCAGGATGCTTTATATGGGTTGCTGGTCTCTTTAAGTAGGGTTTCTGTTTTATGGGGGGCTTCTTATAAGGGTATCTAGGGGCTATGTGAAGGTATAGGGGGAACAGATAAAGAGGCAACCGGCCTTTACGAAGGATGCTTGGTGACCAGCAGCAGCATGCGGCGACGATTCGGGTGATCAAGTTGGTGAGAATCTTACTCAGCCAACAGCTGAACTTTAAACTTTTTGGGTTTCCTTATTTAGTAAGAATAATAAAAGTTGAACCTTGTTTTTCCCTTGGTTGTTGGAGAAGTAAGGAATTGTCCGCACCCTTCGCATCTTTAAGACAGTGGCCAGGTCGCACTGAGGAGGAAGACAGGTAGCTACAGCTGAGCTTGAGGAGGTCGAAGGTGGAGGGCGCCTCCCCGCAGGCTGCAGTAGAGTGGTGCTAGAAATCTATAGAAAAAAGCCCAAAACCCTAAACCCTAAACCCTGTAGCAGCCAAAACCTATCTTCTGTACCACATCTCCTACAGGAGGCCTCACGCCTCTCCCTTTTCGAATTGCAACAGAAATCCTGAGGGTTTAGGGTTTAGGGTTTATAGGGTCTAGGGTCTAGGGTCAAGGGTTTAGGCCCCTTCGAGGCAGGTCCCAATGGAACCGTACACAAGGCCGCAATTCCAGTCATGCCGACGTCATCGTACCAGTGGTTCGTCCAGCTGCCAAAAAGCCCCGAAACCCTTGCAAGCCAAACCCAAGAAGCTTTAGGGTTTAGGGTTTAGGGTTTAGGGTTTAGAGCGCATCCCAGCAATCCATTTCGCCCAACTACAGTACCCGAAGGCATGTGGCAAGAGTGAACAAGCTTTCAAGCGCGATTCCGATACTCAGGGTTCCAGACTTCCCGGCAGGAGGGCGCCATCTGAGAATCTGTGGTCAGCTAAGCTGAAGGTATGATCAAATACGTCCCCTAAACCCTAAACCCTAAACCCTAAACCCTAAACCCTAAACCCTAAACCTAAACCCTAAACCCTAAACCCTAAACCCTAAACCCTAAACCCTAAACCCTAAACCCTAAACCCTAAACCCTAAACCCTAAACCCTCCCTTCCTTGAGCTGGTCAGGTCTCCCTCTTCCGTCAGCTGCGCATCCTGGTGGGGACCTGCTTCGCCAGCATCGGCGCCCTGTGCTGGTCTCTTGGTAGCCCAGTAACCATATTTTTGATACGGGCACCCTTTTTGGCAGTTTAGGGTTTAGGGTTTAGGGTTTAGGGTTTAGGTTTTAGGGTTTAGGGTTTAGGGTTTAGGGTTTAGGGTTTAGGGTTTAGGGTTTAGGGTTGGTTATTTTAGAAGGGAACCTTGAACCCCCCAATCCGGGAGAAGGGTACCCGTGGGCTACCCAGGTCTATGGTTCTTTTGATCGTGCTGATGATTGGCTTCGCTCTGGCCATGTGCCAGGCCTTGCAGCTTTTCATTCTCGACGCGCAGCAAGACCTCGACACACGCTTGGAGATGCATGCCTTCTACGGTAGCTTTCCGAAGGCTCTCTTCACCATGTTTGAAATCACCCTGAGTGGGTCTTGGCCAGTTCGAGTGAGGCCTGTCGTCGAGAAGGTGGATGGCTGGTACGCACTTCCATTTCTCGCCTATATCACTTTCGTGGTGTTCGCTGTCATCAAAATCGTCACGGCGCTGTTCTTGAAAGAGACGCTCACCAGCGCAGCCAACGATGCAGACATGGTCATGGAGGATGCCAGACGTTCGGCCAAGGACTACCACCACAAGCTGCAAGAGCTCTTCCGACTCGCCGATGATGATGGTGACGGGAACCTCTCGCGTGAGGAGTTTGTGGAAACCATGAGCCTTCCGAGCGTGCAGCACTACCTGAGGACATTGGACATGAGCGTTCAAGACTGCCGGCCTTTGTTTGACATCCTTGATGATGGTGACGGGCTTATTACAATTGCAGAATTTGTGAAGGGCCTCTCCCAAATCAAGGGCCAAGCGCGCGCTGTGGACATTGTCATCCTGCAGCGTGAGAATGCCAAGCTGCTAACAGAATGCCAGAAGATCCGCAAGGACATACATTGCCTCCAGAAGGCCTTTCCTTCCTTGCTGTCGAAGATGGCCTCTGGAATTAGCACTACCTCCGACGGGTCTTGGTTCACCTAGGAAACTCTCCGACAAGGCCAGGCAGAGCTTGAAATGTAGCTGTAGTTTCACCCAGATCCTTGGGGACCAAGTTGAACCCTAAAAGGTTTTATGGCCTGTGGCTTTCTGTTGCCTTACGCGGACTTGTAGTAGTACAGGGTATATGACCCCAATTTTTAGGGTTCATTGCGCCCCCAGGGTTGTGATGTGTGACTCTCTCAACCACGCAGCCGCAAAGTAGCCGCTTTATCGGTGTTGCCCATAGGCCTAGGAAGGCGCCCACTTGCAGCGACCATTTTAGGGCACCGCATCCAGAGGCAAAAGCCGTTCACGACCTGCCAGAATTCTGGCTCGGACAGGTACCGTAGGCTGTAGCCTTTTTTTGGGGCCCCCTATAGGGGCCTTTAAGGGCTTTGGCAGCTGTTGGGTCTCGAAATCCCGGTCATGCCCCGGCCGAACAACGAGAAGATTGAGGCCAACAATGAGCGCGAGTGGCTTCTCTCGGTCCTGGATATGAAGTTTCGGCACCAGGAGGCGGTGATCCGTGAGTTGCCCCTCACCTCAGTTTAGGGTTTAGGGTTTGGGGTTTGGGGTTTGGGGTTTATGGTTTAGGGTTTTGGGGGTTTAGGAACATAAGGGGGACCCCTAAAGGATAGATCCCCCCGAAATCCGTAGGATTCCCTTATATATATATATATATATGGACCCCAAGAAGGGTACCCCCCCCACCCCTCGAATTTTGGAAGACGCCAGCTGTGATGCGCGCATAGTTTTCGATGGCGGGGGCCTTTGGGTTGTTTTTTCTTGCACTTTAGCCCAGCACTCAAAGCGGGTTTAGGGTTTAGGGTTTGGGGTTTGGGGTTTAGGGTTGGGGTTTGGGGTTTAGGGTTTTGCGTTGCAAGGTTGCAGGTGCAGGGCCTCCAGCAAATTCCGCTCCATCCCATTCTTGACTTCGCAGATGGAAGCGACACAGGACCTGGATGGAATCTCGTCTGCTCCGATGGGTCACTTTGATGTTCAGGGTTCTTATGACCCCAAGTATAACTGCACTTATAAGCCTCTTAGGCCCCCGAAGTAGGTTATGAGTATACTCTTAATGGGGTTAATACGTACCCATGAACCTCCAAGCATGGGATCAGGGGCCACATGATGTGTGAAGCGCGGCTACTGGGTCGCTGTACGTTTAAGACATGTTTGTACAGGACTAGAGAGGCAAGGCACGGGGTGGGCTTGGCGGTTGGCATGGCGGGAACAGTTTACCAACCTTCGCTTCATCTAAAATGTGAACCCTAAACCCTAAACCCTAAACCCTAAACCCTAAACCCTATGCGTCTCTTGAACCTAAGGAGTACCAAAGTTCAGGCAACGGCCTGCAGCGATCCGCCCTCAAGCCCTGGGCTCACCTCGACTCAGGAGGGCCAACAGGAGAGTCCTGAGTGGTGGGTTTAGGGTTTAGGGTTTAGGGTTTAGGGTTTAGGGTTTAGGGGCTTTGGGTTTAAAGGTCAGGGTGTAGGGTTTCAAAGCACCTACACGCAGCCCATTTGAGGGCTTACGAAACTAGGGGACGCTTTTATATGGACCCCAAAATGGGTACCCCGCCCCCCCCCCCCCCCAAACTCTACACCCTAATTCGGAAGCCCCCAAATTGCCGCCGCAGGACTACACCGAGTCTCACGACACATCCGGCTCCCAGTCTCGCGTGGGAAAGAAGAGCAGCAAGGGTCGCTAGGCTCAGGCTGACCCTCTCTCCCTCTCCCTCTTCACCCCTCTCTCTCCCCCTCTTTGCCCGCTCTCTCTCTCTCTTTCTCTTTCTCTCTCTCTCTCTCTCACTCGCTCAGCATGGGAGCCGTTGCCCTGGGGGGACCGAGGTATCTCGAAGCATATGAAGGCTGAGATGTCGCAGCAGCAGGCGGCTGACTCGCGTTGCAAGACTTTCGTTAAGGGCCCGTTGGATGCTGAGCCGCACTGTGGGAAGGGATGTTGAGGTGCATCAGCGTCCTGAGCTGCATCCAATCGCGTGGAATGGCAAAACCCTAAACCCTAAACCCTAAACCCTAAACCCTAAACCCTAAACCCTAAACCCTAAACCCTAAACCCTAAACCCTAAACCCTAAACCCCAAGTCCTAGGATGGGTACCTGGGCATCGTTGTGCTGCTGAACCTTGGGCTCATGGCCGCTGTGGCGCAGATCACCGGCCACGAAGCGGACGTGACTTGTCTTCAAGTTCCTTAGCAGTAGAGTAGGTAACCTTTAACCTTTTTGGGGTAATAGATTCCCCTTATATTCCCAAAGGTTAACCTTTAAAACCCCTAGGTACTGGACAACTAAGGTTCTCTCCCTGGGCACGTGAGACCCTGCAAAGAAACCCTAAACCCTAAACCCTAATCCCTTCCCCCTAGTATTAAACGGGGGGGCCACCCCCCCCTTTTTAAATATTCGAAAACTGTTTTTTTTTTTTTTTTTTTTTTTTTTTTTTTTTTTTTTAATTAGGGTGTATTCTTATCGAAATGTCATAATTCATTAGACTTCAGGGTTACTCAAGTAATCAACTTAAGTAACCCTCTGAGGGTTTTATTGGTGTTGAGGGGTTTCTTGGAGGCCTGAACCTCCCCCCCTAATTCGGAATAGCGTTTTAAAGGCGGGGTTGGTTTCGGCAGGATGTTCCGGAAAGTGTTTTTATCATTAGGGGTCCATTTAATAAAAGGGGGAGGGGATTAAACCCTAAACCCTAAACCCTAAACCCCAAACCCCAAACCCTAAACCCTAAACCCTAAACCCTAAACCCTAAACCCTAAACCCTAAACCCTAAACCCTAAACCCTAAACCCTAAACCCTAAACCCTAAACCCTAAACCCTAAACCCTAGCCCTAAACCCTAAACCCTATAAACCCTGTAAACCCTATAAACCCTATAAATTTTAAACCCTCTGAGCAAGGTTTTAGAACCTTCAGTCTTGAGCTTCAGTGTAAGCTGTGCCAAGGTTGGGATGTGTCCTAACCTCGGCGAGAGACAGGTTATCAAGAATACTAATAAATAACAATATTAATAATCATAATAATAATATGAATAAGAATAACAGTAATAATAATCAGAATAATAATAGTAGCAATAATTATTCATAATCGTAGTAGCAATAGTAATAATGAGAATGAAAGAATAATTAATATCTAATAATAACAAGAAGAATATCAATAATAAAAGTAATAATAATCATGATGATAATAGTAATAATAATAATCAGAATAATAATAATAACAGTAAAAATAATATAGTACCCCCCCTCCCAAATAGAATTCCCTATTGGGGACTCTGAATAGAAGGGGGAACACCCAAGCTGGGACACAAGACCCTTGAGGACGAAATGAACCCTAAAAGGGCTTATGGTTCATATCCCTTAGTAGGGATTATAGTCGTGTAGGGTAAATATGACCCCCCAATTGCAGGGTCTTCCTTTGGTCCCCAAGGTGAGCCTTGGTCTATCTCCGCCAGAGACCGTCGAGCTGGGACCCGGCTTCGACGTTGCGGAGGCTTGGGGTTTAGGGTTTAGGGTTTAGGGGTTAGGGTTTTAGGGTTTAGGGTTTAGGGTTTAGGGCGGAGGCCATCTTCTTCACCATCTACGTCTTCGACGTCGCGTTGCGGATGGTGGTCCTGAAAAAGGACTCTTAGGTGCTGGGTGGGTAGCCTTTAAGCCTTCTTGGGGTATAAAACCCCCCTTTTTGAAACCCAAAGGTGAACCTGTTTTTTCCTGAAGGGATCTCGGCACCTGAGGAATGGATTTATGACGACGCAGAGGGGATCATGTTCATGAACATGTTCGACGCAGTTCTAGTTCTGGTGCATGGCTTCGAGCTCCTGTTGCTCCCTTTGCCCCCTGACCTGAAATGAAATTCAAAGCTGCGCGGATGGGCTCCAGAGGGGGGGCACCTGAAGGTTCATGGTACAAGGGTACTTATGAACCAAGAATAGCTGTGCTTATGACCCAAGTTCTAACCATGTTAGGGCACTTAAGGGGCTTAGAAGCGGGTTATAAGTACAGTTATCATTGCTGAATAAGTGCCACCAGACCAGGTGATAAAGACACATTCTCGAGATCAGAGAGTTCCCCCACCCCAAAAAAAGAAACACACACACACACACACACACAGACACACACACACACACACACACACACACACACACCCACACCCACACCCACACCCACACCCACACCCACACCCACACCCACACCCACACCCACACCCACACCCACACCCACACCCACACCCACACCCCCACGCACGCACGCACGCACGCACGCACGTATGCACGTACGCACCCACGCACCCACGCACCCACGCACCCACGCACCCACGCACCCACGCACCCACGCACCCACGCACCCACGCACGCACGCACGCACGCACGCACATGGCATCCAACTCCTCAAAGCGACAACGACGCGTAACACCGAAACGTAACCTAAGCAGCAGAAAGTGTTGAGGATGGTTTCGGGAGATCAAGACCAGCGCGCCAGCACCGTCCGCGTCATCAAGTTGCTCAGATGCTTGGTTCTGTGATTCAGCATACAGAGATGTTTCTTTCCTAGGCTGCTTTGCGCACCCTGGCAACCTTAACTTGCAACCTATACTTGCACGATTCCTGGGGATCCACATTTGGGCACTGCAGGAATTGTGCGGACACTCCGCATCGTCAAGACGGCAGCTCTGCCAGAGTGTCGGCTAGATTCGGGTACCATTCTGTCAGTGCAAGCGGCTTAGGGTTCAGCGCTCAGGTCATTTAGGGTTAAGCAGGCAGGGACACGGGCTGACCGTGCTTGTTAAGGCGCACACGCGCACACGCGCACACGCGCACACGCGCACGGCACGCGGCCCTCTTCTTGCTTTCCAGAGCGGAGGTGGCCCTGTTCCGACAGCTTCGCCTTCTGGTAGGCACATGCCTGGCCAGCATCGGAGCCCTCTTCTGGCTACTCTGTCGCACTAAACCCCACTTCCCCTAAGCCCTCAACTGAGCCCATGTTCGGGGAAGGCTCGAAGCCCAAACCCGCCATATCCCCCTTGGGAACTATTTTTCTTTTTGTATAAAAGCCCAAGAAAAATATTAAACATATTATTTTTATTAAGGTTCGAAGGGGGAGTGTAGGTCCATGGTTATGCTCTTCCTCATCAAGTTGGGATTCGCGCTCATCATCTGCCAGGTTGGGCTACAAGAAACCCTAGAATCCCCACAATCAACCCCTGTGAATTTATTAAAGGGCCTTTTTGGGGGAGGTTATAGGGTATAGTCCCCATCATCAACCCTACTAAGGGCTTTTTTGGGGGGTTTTTGGGTGTAGTAGGTTCGTTCTGGTGCCAGGCACTTCAGGGCTACATTCTGGATGAGGCGAATGACTTGGACACCCGCTTGGAGATGAACAACTTGTACGGCAGTTTCCTGAAGGCTCTCTACACCATGTTCGAGGTGACACATGCTGGGAGCTGGCCTGCACGTGTTCGGCCCGTGGTTGACAAAGTCAGCCCCTGGTATTCGCTCCCCTTCCTTGCCTACATCACTCTGGTGGTTTTTGCGGTAATTAGAGTAGTTACAGCTCTCTTCTTGAAGGCCGGGTAGCGTGCCGAAACTCATGGGCCTGATCATGTCAGATAAGCACCGGGACGTTTGGGCATTGCCTAGCCCATGTGTTAGATCATGCGCGGTAGAGTTGTCCGAGCACCCTACTTTTCTTGAGCTCTCACCGCAGCACTGTACTTACATGACCCTGCGCGGAAGGAAACCCTCGCCAGTGCTGCCAACGACGCAGACATGCAGCTAGAAGAGAACCGCAGGACGGCCAAGAACTACCAGCAAAAGTTAGAGGATCTCTTCCGGGCCGTTGATGACGATGGAAACGGTTGGCTCTCTCCGGATGAATTCGTCCAGGCACTAAGCCTCCCAAGCGTACAGCGATATTTAGTCTTCTTGGACCTCAAGGTTTCAGACTGCCGGCCACTCTTCGACATCCTTGATGATGGAGATGGCAAGATTCTGGGATGCCCAGAAATGCCCTTATTCCCTTTTTTGGGGGCTCTAGGTTCCCCTATAAACCCCTTTAAGCAAAAAAGGGCACCCTTTTTAATCCTAGGTTACTGGGCAACCTAGGATTACCATCCAAGAGTTTTGCAAGGGGTTGATGCAGATCAAGGGCCACGCAAGGGCCATTGACATGGTGGCTCCTCAGTGGTCTATAGTAAATCAGTGTTATGGGGGATCCTTTTTTTACTTTCTGGGGTTATGGGCTTTCTTATATATATATATATAGGCAAAAAGGATCCTTTTTTCTTCCTAGGGGAACAGGGCTTAAGTATAGGGTTCCATCGTTTCAGTTGTTGCCAGGCAACTGCCCCGGCTAACTTTTTTCATCTTGGCAATTTTTTGGTGGCCGCCCAGGTTCTGCAGCGCGAGAGCACCAAGGTTTTCAAAGAGTGCCAGGACATCCACAACGAACTGAAGCTTGGCTTCGCCATGTGACGGACAACAGCCATCAGCTGTTGGTAGCCCTAAACCCTAAACCCGAAACCCTAAACCCTTGAGGAAGGCTATGATCTCCACGATCGCACGTCTTGGCGGCAAATCCAGTGGCAGCCTGAGCTTGGCCGCTGGGACCTCGTGAGCGTCGCAGAATGCGAGGCCCCATCTAAACCCAGGCCCCTGGAGAATCGAAGAACCCCCATATGCTTAGCAGGAGAGTAGGTAACCTTTAACCTTTTTGGGGTAATAGATTCCCCTTATATTCCCAAAGGTTAACCTTTAAAACCCCTAGGTACTGGACAACTAAGTTGTTGTCAAAATTATGATCCCTTTTTGGCTCCCTGTTATAGTACGGCACCTAACGTAATTTCTAGGGCACCCCAAAAGGGATCACAATTTGGACAGCCACCCATATAGTACACTATACCGCTACCGGGTCATGTTAGGAACTCTTAAAAGGAACCTAAGGGGATTTACTTTTTGGATCCTCCCAGGGCTCTGGGAATCTCCCAAGGAGATTGAAGGAATACGACGATTTTGTTCTTAAGAGCCCTGCAAAAAATGCGACTATTTTTCTTAAGAACCCCTCAAAACTGCGACGATGTTTTAAGAATCCTCCAATCCAATAATGAGCAGAATATGCTTCCTTGTTTACGGGTAGCGTGGGGGTTATTCTCTTTGTGTTTGGGGGGGGCGGGGGGTGCTTAAGCAAACACTAGAATCGCGGATCGGTGCTTGGCGAAGCCAGCATTGCTGAATGCATTTCTCGTAGATGACGGAGAAACTCGACGTCTGGTCAGATGAGAAAAACCAGAGCTGACCACAAAGCATAGCAGCCCAACAATTCATCTCGAGGTTTGACTGCCGGTGCACCTGTCACGTAAAACTCATGTTTGGGGAATGTTCCTCCTAACGCTAATATCTCCTTGATAGGGATCATAATCCGGAATACTATAATCCTTAACAAGGACTGTTAGCATAAGAGGGGAACTTCCCGACTCATGTTCTTGATGCGGGGGCGAGTGCGCAAGGGCCGGACGCAAACTCTTCAACATTCTTCAACCTGGCAGGAGCTTTGGTGCTCTTCCGCCTGAGCCGCAGCTGCGTGGAAAGCCCAGGTTCGTTCTTTGGGGTACCCTGGGGCCGCTTTTACAATTAGTTGTAACCCCCAACGTTTTGGACCATGATTTAATCACCACATGCCTGCTGTAGCCATGCAGACCTCCTCCTGCGGAGTTGCGAGGAAAGTCGCTCTGCATCGCGTGATGTCTTGAGGCCCCGTTTGGAGCAGAGCCAGAGTGCACGCAGAGTGGACGCGCGACATGTCATGAGCCTTTCATGAGCCGTGGCTGCTCAAAACCGGCTTTTGGAGGCCTTAAGAAGTTCTTCTGGATCGTCAGCCCGTCAAAGCACGGCTCTCCAGCCTGGGGTCCCAGTGATAGCTGCTTACGGCTCTCTTCTCTGTAGCTTCGTATTTAGGGTTTAGGGTTTAGGGTATGCTTACCTAGACGTAACGGAGCTGAGACATAGCTTTAACTAAGGCATGGCTTCTGTGTTTGTCCCGCATATTTGCAATTTGGTGTAACACCTCCCGGGAGCTTCCTTTTTTCATGATGAAAGCGCACTTTACAGACATGTTCGGATGGGCTATTGGGCTATTAGGCCCGATAATCCCCATAATCAACCCTATAAACGGGCCTTTTTGGGTGTTTACATCCGGCAAGAACAGCCTGAAAGAATGTTGTGCACGCGTTGGCAGGCTTAGACCATGGGTGCAGCAGAAACGGTCGTCTGCAGCATTGAAGGACATGAGATGATTTCGATGCTTTCCTACCGGCACCATTCTACCCTAAACCCCATAAACCCTAAACCCCAAACCCCTCAGCAGGCGAAACAAAGTTAGTCCTTTCCAACACACAACTGGCTCGTCGACTTGGGGATGCATGTGGAAGACTCCGTCAAGCAGGCCTCAGCCCGAACCCCTAAACCCTAAACCCTAAACCCTAAACCCTCTTTCTGAAAACTACCCAGGTGCTTTTCCGGTGTTAGAGTCCATGGTCTGACCCACACCAGCAGCACAGCAGCAGCACAGCAAGCAACTCGACATGCTCGTCGGTTCTCTTAGAGCACTACAGCACCACTTGGAGTGCACACGCACGATTTGGGATGTGAGTTTTTGAGGAAAGATGTTTTTCTAATTTTTCTTTTGTTGGGGGGGGGGAGGAGGCTCTACAATGGAATGCAAAGGATTCGCATGACGTCCATAATACAAGTATAACAAAGTGTTGCAACCTTGCCATGACTCTGTGGAGGTCGAGTCTTATTACTTTCCCGAACCAATTTGTAAACTCACTTCACTACTCTGCTTACGCCAACTTCTTTGTCCTAACTTGGGACCCCAGAGGGTGCAAAGCTTGTATGCCACGCCCGGCCTCCTGGATTTCCCGAACTTCCACGGGGTAACCCGGGCATGGCAAACATGGCAAAGAGCGGCTTGTCGGACCAGCAGGAATCATGGTTTCTGAGCGTGCTGGACCTGAAGTTTCAACAACAGGAGGCGGTCATCCGGAAGCTGTTGGTGTCCGTGTCTCGGCCTCATACCGGCCAGCCATTTCGCGAAAGAAGAACGGACTTGTCCCTCCTGGAACCTCTGGAGATGGACATGGTTCAGGAGGCACCAAAATTCTCGCCAGAAATTGCGATTCTTGAGAGCACGGACGACACGGCCGGGCACCCTACCGTCCCCAGCCCTGTTTCGAGCCCCTCGAGCCCTGCTGGCGGCAAGCGGTCAAGGACCTTGGCTCGGGTCATGAACGAAAACTTGCAGGGAAGCGACCCTCCCTTCAAGGCATTCATCAAAGGCTCTCTGGATGCGTACATGGGCATCGTCGTGGTTGCCCGGCTGCAAAATTATTGATATTGTGGTTGTTGCTCGTATCGTTGTTTGTATTCTGATGATGTTTTGAATTAATTTCATGAGATCCACTTACCTACATGGGCTATTATACCCTATAACCCCGAAAAAGGCCCTTTATAGGGTTGTTTAGGGGATTATAAGCCCTAATAGACCATGCTCGTAGGTCGTCAACTTGGGATTCATGATCGCCATCGCGCAGATGGCAGGGGACAAGGCGAACTACGCACTTGGGCTCTCTACTGTGCTCCCTGTCATCCCGGAAAACGTCTTCGAGGCATGTTTTTTGCGAAAGCTCCGGCAAAGTGCTTAGGGTTCAGGGTTTGCGCATTGTGACCAGGCACTTGAGAGAGCCCTAGGCGCAAAAGGTTTGCGCATTTCCTGGCCAGTCCAACCTCGCGTGGTCGATAGGCTGACTCACGTGCGCTACAGACCTGAAGCCCCTAAGAGGTTGCAGAAAACTTCTTCTTCGCCATTTATATCCTCGATGTCCTGGTTCGGGTTCTGGTGCTGCGGAGTGAATGGTACTACGATCCCATTGAGGGCGCAACTCGGATCGCTTAAGGGTTTACAGGGTGCTGCTTGTGCTGACATAGCGCGGGATCAACAGTCTACGGAAATTCGTCGTTGTGACGGCTAAGGTTGTACAAAACAATTCTGTGAAAGCTGTCTGGGCTCCTCCCAAAGGTGGCAACAATTGGAAGGCCCTTAGACTCTTAGACTCCGAAGAAATCATCACACAGTTTGATGGGAAAGTACCCGTAGAATCTCGGTGTTGCGATTTTTATGTCCTTTTTCTCACGTATAGTGGAACTACAAACTCACAAGGCGGGATGGGGTAGGGCGCATGTTGCGCAGGGTCGCGCCCCAACTCGTATGCCCCTTAGTCGACAACAAATGGAGAGAGTTTCGGGTTCTGGTGTAAGCTTGCCGGTTATGCAGAGCTTCAGAGCCCTGAAAGAGGCAACGCGAAGGGAGAGCTAGAGCGCGGCCAGGAACAGCCACGTCGCAGCTAGAGAGGCCGCTGTCCGAAGCATATAACCCCAAAACACTTCCACGATGGATGCCTTTGACCCTGAGGGTCCATGTGTACAGTTTAATTATACTTGGGCCCTAAAGCTACTATGTGGGAACCCCCTTTTCGGCCCAAATATATACAGTATGGGTACATGGACCCTTGGGGTGAGGTGATGCTCATGAACCTCCTTGATGCCTTGCTGGTGCTGGTGCACGCTTTTGAGCTGATCCTATTCCCGGTGTCCCTTGGCTGGACCTTCCTGCCACGCTGTTCGATTCACGGTCACTGCAATTTTATGCATGCATTACATATATGTACATGTATATATACACATACACATACACATACACATATACATACATGCATGCATGCATGCATGCATGCATACATACATGCATACATGCATACATACATACATATATACATATATATATACATACATACATTTTTACATGCTATGTATAGCTAGTTGTTAGTATACATAAGAATCTCTCTCCCCTTGCCGTGCCCAAAAGCAGCCGACGCCGATAGTGCCCTAAACCCTAAACCCTAAACCCTAAACCCTAAACCCTAAACCCCAAACCCCAAACCCCAAACCCCAAACCCCAAACCGAAACCCAAAACCCAAAACCCTAAACCGGGTGAGAGGGTGCGAGGGTGAGTGAGCGCTGCCATCCCAAAGCGCGCCGCAGCTCAGAACCCGAACGCCTGAGCCCTCTTAGTAGCTGAGGAGCTAACCTCTAACTTTCTCGGGCATATATATATATATATATATATTTTATGTATATATATATATAACTATAGACATACATAATCCCACCATAGTTGCAAGGTTAACCTTTTTTGGCCCAAGGTGCTCAGCAACTCGGCCCTATAAGTCCCAAGTGCCTTGCGCAGGTTGGTAGCCGGTGGTGACAGCGTGGCGCGCCTCCTACTTCGTAACCTTTTTATCCACTTTTGACCAACCATCCTTTTTGTTGCTGCAGCATGAACTCTGACCCCCAAAGCGGATTCTACACAAGCCTCAAGCCCTAAACTAGGTAGGCCCTTGGGACATTTAATATTTTCCCTTTGGTTTCACCAGGATCGTAGTCAGGAAGATCTTTCAGAGGCTTCTTAAGGACCCTAAACCCTAAACCCTAAACCCTAAACCCTAAACCCCTTGAACCAGGAAAGTGCTGGCAGCATCCGAGTGCTCAAGTTGGTGCGCATCGTGCGGACATTGCGAATAGTCAAAACTGCCGCTGGGACCGGAGGATGGTTTTGGGGGGTTTAGGGTTTAGGGTTAGGGTTTAGGGTTGAGGGTTTAGGGTTGAGGCCGCTGCCTCAGCTGTCTTGGGTTAAGAAAAGGGTGAATGTTGCTCCCTCACATGCAAGGGCCCCTACATATTATGATAGCATGGCATCAGAGTAGCACAAATATGCACATATACATATACACATATATTGGGGTCCCCCCCCCCCCCCCTTTCCGGTACCTACCATATCTGACGCCTTCTAGTAAGTTTGTTGGTTTGAGGGTCTGGGGAGGGGGGGCCACTACTCGCGCATCTATATTTGCATTTGCTACACATGAGGGAGAATTTTCCGAGAAACGTAGAATGTGTTTTTTATGTGCTATTTCAAACCGGAAAAATTCCGGACTTCTTCCGGAAAATTAAGATTGGAGATTGAAGATGCTGGGGAAAGTTTTCCCTGGCATCTTCAATCTTCAATCCGCAAATTTTTGCGGAAGATGATAAACGAACGGGGGTCTTATTCACAGTGTAATTCCATGCTGGATGAATCACTCACTTCTCTCTTTGACTCTTGTTCACTGCCCTCATGAATCTCTAGCTCACAGTGTAAAAAGCCGTGAACGAAGTGAACAAGAGATGTCTTTGTGCACTCATTAATTTTCATTCGCATAAATCATTCGTGCGCTCTCTTCATTCGCTATGCATATTAGTATAATTATACGGGCTTATTATTATTGTTCGCCTGCTACATTATATTCTTCATCCGCGGGCTTTTTCATTGTTTTCTTTTTGGTTTTTTGGGGGGCTGGATTAGAGATTCCTGTAGGGAAGGCATCGAGCCCAATCCCGGGCCGCCGCAGGATACCTTGTCGGCCCCACCATTCAGGCATGACACGAAACCTTCCCCTGCCGTCGCGCTTAAAATCCTGCGGCTCAACCTCTGGAGTGGAGTTACCACAGACATGGGTTGCGAGCACTGAATTTTGCCATGCGGTCTGGCGCTCAGATTGTTTTGTTTCAGGAAACTCTCACTTTCTGCCAAACAGGTTGCCCAGGCTCATCAGCATGGGCAAGTTTTTCACCGTATTTCCCAAGTCACTCAGCTCAATTGAGCAGAAAATGCCAGGTGCCAAGCCTTCAGGCGGAGTGGCAATCGCTGTCGCTCAAACTCGTGCAGTACAGTGGCACAGTGGCGCTCACGGCATTTTCGCCTGCCGCCTCGGCCAGTCCCACTCAGACACCAGGGTCCACTGGTATCCCCATGTGGGTTCGGAAACAGACGAAGCGTACCACAGACGCCTCCTCGCTTTGTCACACACTCGCAAAGAAGGCCTGAAGCTGCGAAAAGGCGGCAAGGTTGACCTAGGCCTGTTTGCTACCCCAGAAGATGATACATCTCTCGCAAGCCACTGGCACGCTACTGGATTCCCCAGAACATGGGAAGAGTCTGAAATCTTTTAATTCCTGTCCGAACAGGGATGGAAGCAGTGCAGTATCCTCGGCCGCCGCGCGTGCAAACACAGTGCCACTGCGTGGTGGTTCAAGGGTCAACCTCCCAACCACCAAGAAGCTTGGGATTATATATGGCGTACAGGTTGATGGCATACAGGAGCGTGTCCTCATCAGCAAGCGTGCCCACAAACCCAAGCCTGCCCAGGTTCAGCCCCTGAAAGCCGCTAGCAAGCAGCAATCCAAAAGAAAAGGAGCGCCTCCCAAACTGAACCCGCCGAGACATCCTGCTCAGCCGCCAAAACGTCCTGCCCAGGATGACGATGAAGAGGCGAACGGATGGCGAAACCTCAGACACCACACCTCACGAACCTCCCTTCAGGCTTGTCTAAATGCGAGCGCGGGTACCTCGTTGTTGCTCAAGGCAGTCGCCCTTAAGCGAAAGGCAACCTGCTGGATGATGCCCAAGCAAGTAGGGAAGCTGCTAACTTGCGGGCAAGCGCCTTTCAGCGTACGAGGGCCCCAAAACACTTTGAACGGTTCCGCAGACACTGAAGTTCAGGCGGACACTGGCCTCGACTTGGATCAGTGGCTAGATGAGTACAGCTCGACAGGGGCTTGGATTCAAGGAACGCAACTGCAATCTCTATCCGAAAAATTGGGCCAGGTCCTCGTGATTTGGTCTAAGCGCCCCGTTGTCACAGGCTCTGCGGACACTTGCTGGCAGAGATTCATGTACGCGCCTCGCTTTAGCAAAGGCGTCGCTTGCCAGTCGACAAACAGCAAGCCGGTGGTGATGACACACGGGTGTGGTCATTGCCAGTTCTTTGCACCTCCTGCCGATACCAAGGTACCGGACGCTTGGATGCTTGAATCCACGGTGCCCGACTCTCAAAGCATGAGAAGCTCCCTCGCTGTGCACCCCCTCGGTGCAGCAGCGCTCTCGCCAAGACGCCAAGAAAAACAACAGTGTGGGCGAAGACTTCGGAGGCGCCTTCTGCTTCCAACCCTCCTGCTGCGCCCTTAGACCCTCACTTGAGCCCGGCCGGTGCTTCCCCCGACCCAAGCCCAAGTCCTGGCCGGATCTGCGGCGATGAGCTCTGCAATGTCCGTATAACCCTGCCAATATAAAGATATATAGCGTCAAGACTCCCTCTGTTTCACGCACACCGACCTCGCCTCAAGCAACCAAGCTGACAGGACCGATCTCTCGGATACCGAACTTGATGTGGTCTCAAAAGACGCATCTGCAGCAAGCAGCCTCCTCGCCTCACTGCGAGCGTGCTTGCAGAGCTGCAACGCCTGGGTCCAAGCTCCTCTCAGTTTGAGCCCTCCAGACTCCCAAAGGTCAAAAGATTGCGTTGCGAAGAAAGACAACAAGGCCGTACTGGACCCCTTGGCCGTGCCCTGTGTGTCAGCAAGTGGTTGAGATCAAGGGTCCTAACTACGGGCAGTACTACCGCAAAAGGCATTTGCAGACAGCCCACGGCGTGGGACTCGCGCAGTACCCCCTTCAGGGAGACTGGCCGAACTCTTATAAAGCCGGCTTCGTAGGGCACAAACTAGAGCACTCCCGCACGCTGGTTCATGTCAAAAGAGCAGGACTGATCCAATGTGGCCTCGAGTATTCCACTTGGATATGCAGCCACTAGTGGTAAAATGTCATACTACGAACGCAAGCTACGTACAGACTAAGCGAGCCCGCTGGTTGCTGCTTGCCTTGCAGTGGACCCCCTCCAAACTCCTGAGTTCCAGGCGTGGGCCAGAAAAGCATGCACAATCTCGAAGCCCCATAAAACTAAGACCCGCAGTGCCAAGGACTTGCAGTGTCGCAAGTCTCTCAAGCAGTGACGTGCAGCCAATGGGTGTGGCGTCCCTGTCCGGCAGGCAGGAGGGCGCTCTAATTTGAAGGTGTCTGCTGCCAGACAAATCTTGTTTTTCCTTGCCACTTCTTTTGCAGATGGTTTTTTGGTGTAGGAGTTGTTTGCATGCAAGCGCGGCTCACCGCCGCCAGAGACGAATCCAGCTTCCCTAATAACTGCCCCGAAGACCCGAAGACCTGCCTCCCTCAACCTTCCCCAGCCACGCCACAAGTGCCCTCCCCGGTAGGACTCGGCCCTAAACCTTTCCCTACCCTCACGCTTAACAGCTCGCTGCGCAACCTTTGGAGTCATCCAAATCGTGGGCCTGATCCCAGCACTTCTGACGGTGGGTCCGGAGCTCAGTCCTCTTTGCTAGTGCCTAAACCACCTCTCAGGTTCCTGCCTTGAGACCCGTGACCCTAAACCTTCCCTTACCAAAACTTTCGCAAAATATCCAACACGCGGACCGAAGATATGTGCGTCTCCGCCAGGTGGTCCGGCGCTCAGTCTGATCTTGCAGCGCCTAAAACACCCTATCCTGCCCATATGCCCCAAATCGTCGCTTTTTCAGATTGTCACGCTCACAATCTTGCAGCTCAATCTCCGGAGTTATCACAAGCGCGGGGCGCGGGCACTCAATTTCGCCATGCGCTCCGGCGCCCAGATTGTTTTGTTCCAAGAAACATTCCTACACACTTTCCGCCAAACAGGTTTCTCAGGCTCATCAGTATTGGCAGTTCTTTCACTGTGTTTCTCAGGCCACACTGTGTTTCTCAGGCCACACAGCTAACTGAGCAGAGAATGCTCTCGGGCGGGGTTGCCATAGTGCCATAGCTGTTGCCCGTGGCATCCCCAGTGTTTGCCTCCTGCCACCGATGTCCCGAAGGGACTTGTCTTGACTGGTCCCTTCAAAAGGGTGTTGACTTTCGACCAACGGCCTTGCAGGACAAATGGGCGGATCACAAGATGATGATTCAATATACACTGTACACGGGCTACAGTCCCGTCCCGTGCTCCCCGCGTGCACTCAGAATCGCGCCGGTGCCAGACTACGCAAAGCCGTCCGTGATCGACGACCATGCTTGGACCTCCACTCTGGAAGAGATGTGGCAGCTGCGCCGCCCTGCAGGTGACACATGGGAGGCTTTCATGTCAGCTCTGGACGCCTGTTTCAGAGCTGCTTTGATCTGCCACTTGCCCAGTAGTTCCAGACAGCGCAAGCAGCTCCAACGCCACGTTTGGTTCAGGTTCATATAAGCATTCCATGCCCCAGCCCGGAAATCGCCGTACATTCAAGCTGGCAAAACAGACTCCAAATGTTCTGGCGTCGCCGTGTCGAACACTGGAATAATGCTAGAAGTAGGCAAAACAGGGAACGCCTGCGCCGCCATTTGCAGCGTGACAGCCGCGACTTGTCATGCACTTTCCAACCCACAGCTTGCTGACTGCAGAAGCTGGATTCAGCAAGCCGTTCACCTTGGGGAAGAGGCCGAAAGCGCGGTAACTTCGTCATGAAGACAGTGCCGTCTGGAAGCGTCTGGCTCGTTGTAAGATCAGCGCTCCTTTAACGGCCATCAAGTGGGTGAACCCATTGCAGGTGAAGAGATTATGCAAGCACTTTCGCAATACTGGCGAGGTGTCTGGCCTGCTCCCGAGCAGCTGTCCCTCCTGCAGCGCCTGGCCTCCCAGAGTCCTCCTGCCTTGCCTGCACTCACGCCCGAGATGCTGCGCCAGGCGGCCCGTAAACAGCACCTTTTCAAGCCCCCGGTATTGACGGCTGGCGCGGCTACGAGATTTCGCTCATGCCAGACGTGCTTCGCATCGAGGGCGGCCTGCCCTGGCCTGAACAGCTTAAGCAATGGAAGCAAATCCATCACCAAAAGACTAATAAGGAGCCCGGTGCCCTTAAGTCCCTCCGCCCCATCAGCCTCAGTAGCACCTGGTATCGGCTCGGTTCTCCGCCCGTGTTCAGCAGCTTGCTTCCTGGATACAGCAGGTTATGCCGCCAGAACAACATGGTGCCATAAAGAAGAGAGGAGTTCACACTGCCCTTCTTGAGCCACTCGCCCAGCTCGAGCGGGGCCAGCTGACCGGCAGTCGGGGCCGTGCAGACGACGTCAGGTTCGTCGGCGCGGCGGACTTGGCCAAGGCCTTCGACTCCATGGCCGCGAGTTGTGTCGCCGCCTTGCACCGTATGCACTTTCCCTCCAAAGTGCTGTAAGCCTTCAGCAGCGCGTGGTGTTATGCGCGGACAAGGTTGTGGGCAGCGTCCCTTGCTGCAACGTTCATTGCCTGCCACAGGAAGATTCCGCGTCTCCTGTGGCACTTTGTGCTGCATGTCCTTAGCGAGGCCATGACTCGCATCAAGCTCAGGTTAGCTCCGCTTCTGGCAGGCAGCTCAACCGCATCTACGTGGACGATAGAAGCTGGTTCACCTCCACCTTGGAGCGCTGCTCCTCCGCAGCGCGCTTCTGGAAAGAAGAGCTCCGTCTCCTCCCCCTGACTGAAAATTGAAGCAAAGGCTGAGTTCGCTGCCACAGGTGGTGTTGCTCAGCAACGTTCCCTCCAAAACATCCTCACCAATGCCCAATGCGCATACTGAGGGCACCGTGGTGGATAGGCCCAAGATCCTAGGCACTCGGCTGCAGCTGACCCGTGCCTGGACAGGGCCCTCGCACGACTAATCCTGGAGGTCACTCGTTTGCCTAGTGCAAGGTCCCAAAAGCTGAAATTCGCAAAAAGCTCCGGCGTGGTTCCAGCTAGGTGCATGCCAAACCCTTTGTGTCCTTTCACATGTGACCTCTGAGATGCACAGTTGCTGGACTGGAAATGTCCAGAACCAAGGGGCCATTGCTTTGGCCAGGCAATGGCTCAAACGTCAGGGTTGGGCAGAACATGTTCTGCCCTGCAGGGACAGGCTAAGGCTGGCGCATCACCGTCCGCACATCCGCGCCATCACCACAGCACACTATGTGTCGCAGGCTCGTTATGCCTTCACGCAGCACAGATGCGTGTTCTGCCACTCGCTTGACTCCGGCCCAGAGCACGAGTGGCCATGCAAAGGACTCAGATCCACTACCCATGCCATGCCTGATTTGCTATTCAGGCAACTTGCGTGGCCTCGCCCGAGGCATGCAACAGATGTCGAGCTCAAGTCTTAAGTACTAGATACAACAACACTAGCAGCAGTCATGCTGACACTGCTGCGGAGGAGTTTGGATAGCTCCATCCCCCTGGGGGTGCCATGTGCCCCGCCTTCTGTTGCGATACAACTCCCCCGCAGGGGGACGTTTTCTTATCCACCAAAAGTGTTTTGGTTGAAAACTTGCTCTGCAATTTTTCTTCACGCCATGTTGTTTTTGCATGACTGTGGACTCATGTCTCTTGCAGGATGTTTGCGCTGAAGTTTTGGTTCAGCTGCTGCTGAAGTGATTCTTTTTGCCCACCCACCCACCCGGGGGATTGGGGCTTTGCCTCACTTGCGGGAGCCATGCTGGACAAACCTCACATGCAGGATGCAATGGACGTGACAACCCTTTGGCTTGCCCAGGGGAGATTTCTCATGTGACTTGCGGGATTTAGGCCGGAAGCTTGCAGGACTCCTATGCGCGTCATGCCCAGAGTGTTTCCTAACCCTTTGGCTTGCCCACGGATTGAAAAGAGCGCGTTCTTTTGTATTGGAATCTTCTGATAAATGAACTTATTCTGGATGGCGTGGTTTTACACTTTGCAGTGGATAAAGCTATCCCGCGACCAGGATGCTGCAGACAACTTTTCTTCTTCTTCTTCTTCAGTCAATAATGGATAATGGAGATGGAATACGTAATGGTATGCATCGAACCATAAGTCTAGGAAGCATTCGAGTGCATAGGGTGATGCAAAAAAATCATCTGTAAATCCTGGGGACGAGGAATACTGTGAGCAATATCCTTTCACGATTGCCTGGGACCTTCCAAAAGAGGCAAAAAGCATGAAACTGGTCAGTCCCGCGAAAGCCGGGGGGGGGGGGGGGGGGGGTGTAGCATATATATATATATATATACATACATACATACACATACATATACATATATAGATGTAGATAGATAGATAGATATAGTCATAGCTACAATCAAAGAATCAGAAGAGCATGCTGCCTTAGTAGCCTTAGTAGGTGCTTATGGGAATCTCGCGGGTATCCTACTTGTTCCCTAGACCCCGAGGCCAGAGCCGAGGCCCTTAGCGTAGCTCCCTGGCATGGTCAACCTGGAGAACTACGCAGGGTGGATGGGTGGGGTGTAGGGTTGAGGGTTGAGGGTTGAGGGCTTAGGGATGTTTAGGGTTTAGGGTTTAGGGTTTAGGTTTAGGGTTTAGGGTTTAGGGTTTAGGGTTTAGGGTTTAGGGTTTAGGGTTTAGGGTTTAGGGTTTAGGGTTTAGGGTTTAGGGTTTAGGGTTTAGGATTGCTAAGACTTTCCGGCCAGGACATCATAGCCCGGATGCAAAAAAGGGTTTAGGGTTTAGGGTTTAGGGTTTAGGGTTTAGGGTTTAGGGTTTAGGGTTGGGTGGAGGGGTTCGGGTGAGAGGGATGCCTAGGGCTTACCAGGGGGGTTTTTAGGGGTTAGGGTTGGTGAACCCTTGGGAACATGCTGGCTTCGGCTTCTCAGCTGCAGAAGAGGCTCTATCTAGCGCTTGGTGACAAGATCCGGCCAGCGCAACATAGCGCAACAAAATCCTCGCAAAATGATTGTTAAAGCGGTATTGCATCACGTCTATTCCAGGAACAGAGCCCGGTTAAGATGCCTCTTGTTTACTTCTGTGTCCTCATGAGAATGCCTCACATCACGTCGGATGTTAGGGCCTTCGTTCGAAAGTCAGAACATGTCCAACCACCAAAGAAGCCAAAGAAGGGCAAAACCCCAGGAGGGCGAGGCAGACGCCATCTTCTCCGACTCAAGCTACCCTTAAACCCAAACCCTCAACTGACTGAGGTCAACATGTTCAGGCAGCTCCGTCTATTGGTGGGCACCTGCGTGGCAAGCATGGGGGCCCTCTTCTGGTCCATGGCCTCTTGCCGTCAGCTTTCAGCATAAGTACAGACATATTTCACATGTTGAAAATGCCTACATCTTACATAGAAGCCAGGTACATATGCTATAGGAAGGAAGCGCTTTCACTACACGTTCATTATATGTTGCGCATGCTGCCAAGACGTTTTCGGCTTCGTACAGAATTTTTTATATGCTGTATACATGTATATAATATATATATATAGAAATAACACATTCATACGATACAATACGTAACTTTATATGCACACTTCAACTTTTACAAACATTTGTATGTATGTATATTTCTATTTGTATTTATACACATAAATTTATTTAAATAGTTACTTGTCACACGATAGACACGCTTTTCTCTACTGCTACGCTACTGAAGACCTCCTGTGGACAAAAAGAGGTGCAACCAGCAAAGAAAACCGACGTTTCTAAGTCAGGTGGAGGGTTTCCTGCTCAGGCTCAAGAAACAGCCAGAACATGCAGGATGTCCTGTTTAAGGCTCGAAGACATCGAGGTTTCCACAATTCTGCATCCCGAGCTCGAAAGATAACAATGCCGACGGACAACAAGAACCAACTCGCAAGTTGTCTCCAGAGGCGCATTGCCTCGGTTGCGAGTTCCCATGAAAGCATGGCACTGCAGGCGTAGCCCGTGGATGGTAGTGTAGAACCTTAAAAACCGGCGGCGGATTCTTCCAGCAGAAGCGCTTCCCACCAAAGGTAGCAACGGCGTGCGAGGGCGCACAGGGCCATCCCAGCAATCCCCACATGGGGGTTACGAACATGGGGACCCCCAATATAGATCCCCTAGTAGTAGGATCCCCGTATAAGAAGGACCACAAAAAGGTATCCCAAATCTCGGAAACCCCCAAAACCCTACGAACAACGCGCCTACTCAGGCCCTACTCCTAAGCCCACACGCAGGAAAATGCATAGCCTGGTAGCCCAGTGGTACCCCCAGTGCCTTTTTGGGCATTTCTAGGTGTCCGTAGAACCAACCCCCCCAAAAAGGTGCCCCTTATTTGTTGTGTGATTCAAGATCGGATCAGCCTGAGGTTCTCCTGTGCCTCCTGAAGCTTGGCTTTGCGCTGGTCATTTGCCAAGCTCTGCAAGGCCGGTAGGAACAAAAAGATCGCTCAAGCGTCATAGCCCTAAAACACTCCTAAAACCCTATAGGGGATAGGATTCGGTCCCTGCTTAAGAGAGCCAGAAGAGGGTTCAGAAGGGGTTCCCTTTTAAGGATCCCCCTTATCCTACCTAGGACCCTAAACCGTATAGAGCCTCAACCCCAGCTTCTTGGAGTGCTGACAGAAAGGTGGAGCAGTTGAGCCTTTGGGGGCGTTTTCTGGGGGCGGAGTGCATGTTGTGACCATGCAAATGCAGAAGCAGCCACTTCTATGCATCACACAGCAACAGAAAAAAAGTGGAACCCTGAACCCTGAAACCTGAAACTTCCCCGCCAGGTTACATCATGGATGAGGCCCAGGACCTCTCCACGCGCCTCCAGATGAACAATCTTTACGGTAGCTTCCTCAAAGCCTTTTACACCATCTTCGAGATTCCCGGTTGGATTTTGGGGACATTTTTTATCTTTTCCTCATTTTGGGGTTTCGAGGCGACCCTAAATATAGAACTATTTTTTTCAGAGTGTTTTAATGGCCAACCCAGGATTACCCACAGTGGCTCCTGGCCTTCAAAGGTTCGACCGGTCATCGAGAAAGTAAGCCCCTGGTACGCCGTACTTTTTCTTACCTACATTGCTTTGGTGGTTTTTGCGGTGATCCGGATAGTGACGGCCCTTTTCCTGCAAGAGACGCTTTCGAATGCCGCGAATGATGCGGATATGCTGCTGGAGAATAGCCGGCGGCTGGCCAAAGACTACCAAGACAAGCTTCTCTACTGGTTTTGGCCATCTCTCCCTATCTCTCTCTCTCCCTCTCTCTCGTTCTCTCGCTCTCTCTCTCTCTCCTCACTCTCTCTCCCTTCTCTTTCTCTCCCACACTGCCCCTATTCTCCAAGTCTTCCCTCCCATGAAACCATGTGCCAGCTCTTCGACAGAGCCAGACGGGGGTTTCCGAAATTAGGTGTACCTTATTGGGGTCCTAATTCTATGGAGATCCTACTATTTGGGGGAATGTTTTAGGGGTCCCGTAGTTTCGTAAACCCCCATTGAGGCTTGAAGAGCTCTTCCAAGCTGCGGACAACGACGGTGATGGGAGCTTGACCCCGGATGAGTTTGTGGATGCGCTCAGCATTCCTGGGGTTCAACGCCACCTGGACTTGTTGAGTTTAGGGTTTAGGGTTGAAAGGGAGGATTCATTGTTGGCCTTCCTTTGGGCTAAGGAAGATTAAGACAGGTGAGGTGGCCAGCTCGGAAATGATGGAGCCATGTGTTGAGCGCATGTCAAACCTTATACAGGCTTATATTGACAGACGACCCCTAAACCCTAAACCCTAAACCCTAAACCCTAAACCCTAAACCCTAAACCCTAAACCCTAAACCCTAAACCCTAAACCCTAAACCCTAAACCCTAAACCCTAAACCCTAAGCCGGCAGCCCCAAGCGCGGTCCTACAATTAAGAATCCGGAGTTGTTGAGACCCTGCAACGCGCCCTAAAACCTTTCCATAAACGAGTTGCCTTCGTCCAGAGTTGCTGAAGACATCTGAGCCTCAGGCTACTTGACCATGCTGGATGTGCGTGTCCAAGACTGCCGTCCCCTCTTCGACATCCTGGATGATGGCGATGGGCAAATCACCATTGCAGAATTCTGCAAAGGGCTGATGCAGCTCAAGGGCCAGGCACGTGCCTTGGATATTGTCATGCTCACGCGGGAGAATGCGAAAATCGTGCGGGAGTGCCAAGAAATTCGCAAAGCCCTGGCACCTTTCCCGGACTTGCAGTAGTTGTCTTCAATGCGCGAAGAATGCCTGTGCAAAGACCTTGTGCCTTGTGCTTACGCTTCTCGAACCGAGACGTGGCCTCCTCAGGCAGTTCACAAGATCAGGCATGTTGTATATGTGCCCTGGGGACGAAATGAACCCTAGAAGGGTTTATGGTTCATACACCTTAATAGGGATTATAGGGTATATGACCCCCAAGTTTAGGGTTCATCTGGTCCCCAAGGGGTGTGTAATGTTTCTTGCTCCCCTTCACTCCCGCTGTGCGCCTTGCGGCTGGCAGGCAAAGCCTGCATGAAGCGGTCGTGCGAACCGTGCGACGTCTGCGCAAAGCGTGGTAAAAAGCGCCGAGCAGCCCTGCAGCGTGCTATGATTCCCCAGCAAGAACGGCTTGGTCAAGGGACTGAGGAAACATCGGACCTTAGGGGGGAATGTATAGGGGCCACTTAGGTATGTGGCATATAGGGGCTCTATAAGATATATACATATATGACATATGATTATACATGGGGGTTATAGGGGAATAGTAAGGCTCCCTTCTAAAGGGGTCCCTCCTTATGTACCCCTTATCTTGAAGCCTTGGGGGTAAACCCTAAACCCTAATTAAGCCCTAAACCCGAAACCCTAAACCCTAAACCCAAAGCCCCGTCACCTCTTTGCTCAAAGCTTGGGCCAACAACGAAGCTCGGGCAGCGGAACCGCTGCGGCCTCAGCGCTCCCACTATGCCCTGATACCCTGAGAGTAGTTAGGGTTTAGGGTTTGGGGTTTAGGGTTTATTTTGCAGGGTCGGCCCCACCACAAGCAAATTAAGCCTACTGGATTTGATTTGTTTTCGTGCACGCAGTGCCCAAGGAAAAGCACTGGAAGCCATGGGGCGCCGCTCATGACTTTTCCATTCTTCTTCTACGCGATTTTCGTAGATGACAAAGGGAGGAAATGATGGGGCGAACTTGTACCTTCATACTTCTTGATAATGTTGTCCAACAAAACCCGGCACATGGAAACTCGGCAAGTAACGTGAACAAACTGTAAGGATGAGACGTTTCTCAAGGGACTACAGGAAGGACCCTGATAAGGGACCTTGTGAGTAATGTAGGGGCTAGTTAGGGGCTATCTAGGTATATTGTGAATTGATAATTTATAAGGTACATAGAGTTGTTGTATAGGGGATTATGATGAAGGGTCACTTCTAGTGGTCCATCCTTATATCCCTTAAGGTTTTTTGAACAGTGAGCTTTCGATCGAGGTTTCGGCGTTCTGCGACTATCAATGCAGTACACAGTCTGATGGATACGCGGAGGTTGGTCTGTTAAAATATGAGGCAAACCCCTCATACCACCCCCTCCCAAATGCGCAAGTGGAGGTAGCCTTGTTTTGGGAACCCCCCCCCCAAAAAAAAAAAAAAAACATATAACATCAGAATACTCTCTCTCTCTCTCTCTTTCTTTTTGTCTCTCTTTCTCTAGTTCTGTAGGTATGTAGCGGCCAGTATCCTAGCAGACATACACTATGCAGATTTAATCATATGTCTTGTTAACAATATTCATAATATTCATAGTATGAATAGTATTAATAGTCATAAGAATATGAAGAAAATCATATACACATGCAGGATTTTTGGGTTCTTCAGAGGGGGATGGTTCATGGGGGTAGGTACCTAGGGAAGCTTAGGGAAGGTTAGGGAGCTTTGGGTTACATACCCCCCCCTTGAACCCCCCCCACCCCACCCCTTCAGAACCCTATAATGGAAGGTTCAGGGTACTTATTAACCAATTATACCTGTACTTATAACCCACTTCTAAGCCCCCGAAGTGCCCTGTAATTTGAGTTATACGTGCAGTTATACCCTGAACCTTCAAGTACCCCCCGCCCCCCCAAGAACCCTATTGTAGGCTCCAAAGTCTGCATCCAAAGGTCCGCTTCCGCCCAGGGAGGCCGGGAGCTCTTGCGTTTTCTTGTGAAGTTTTAGGGTTCAGGGTTCAGGGTTCAGGGTTTAGGGTTTAGGGTTTAGGGTCTATAGGGTTTCGGCCGGCAAAAAAAGGTGACCAGCCATTTTTTCGAGTGCTGGGCTCCAAAGGGTTTATCTAGGGTTCTGGGAATAGGGTACGGGTAGGGCCTTGGCATAACTATTTCTGGAGAAGGTAGCTGTTCCCCCCCATATTTGTTATTCTTTTCTCCCTTATTGAAAGCTTCGAAGGCCCTTGGGCTACGCTGTAGCCATATTCCCTCCCTCCCAAATGTTTAAAGCATCTTTGGCAAGTGTCACTTGAAGAAGATAAGTATGCCTTTACAGCTACTTCTAGGATATCATGTTCCACCGTGGGTTCTGTGTAGGGGTTTGGGGTGGCAGAAAGGAGGTCTACGAACATAGGGGACCCCTAAAATAGACCCCCTAAATAGTAGGATAGTAAGGGCCCCAACAAGGTACCCCTAATATCGTAAACCCCCCTTTAGGCTTACAAGAGTCATGTTCAGCTGTCGGTTGCTCCGTGCTCAGCAGGTGCATTTTCTTGCGGCTCAAGTTGAGGAGTGAACGTGCCCCGAGAGGAGATGAAAGCGCACACGCACCTGGACTGTGGACTCTGGAGCCTGGTGATCTAGAGGCACACATATACACACATACACATATATATATATATATGTATGTATGTATGTATGAATACATACGCAGATCTATGTGGGCATACATTAAAAAAGTCTAGAATGGTTGCGACAGCCTTGCCACGGTGACAGCTCGAAATCGCCGCCAAGCATTGGGCGCCGTCGGCCCGCTGGGCCAGGTTGGTAGTGCGCTCAGCTTGTTCACAGACACCGGGGGTGTCCGAAGTTAGGGATACCTCATTGGGGTCCTTACTGTAAGGGAATCCGACGATATGTGAGGACTATAGTCGGGGTTCCTTACTTTTCCTTAACCCTCAAATGGTTCTACGTTCTAGGCATCCGAAAATGGAACTCGATCCTCGGCAAGCATCGTGGCAACTCACTGGACTATTGCAGTTGCTGTGTTGCACGTCTCCGCTGCTGCACTTAGCCACACATCACCTGCAAACGGTGAAGAAAGAAATTTAGCTGGTCCTGCTTTGGGCGTGCCTGCGGAGACAGTACGACCTTTAAGAGGTGTACCCTTGGATACTTCGATCGTTCGAACCCGTGTCAACATTTCTTAAAATACAAGGACAAGACTCCTCCTTCTAAACTTGGTAGCCCACTGGCACCCTTTGCCCTTTGGTTGTTCAAGGGCCCCTTGCAAAGTAACCAACCCCAACAGCTCACTTCAGGGTCCACGGAACCAACACCCTAAACCCTCAACCCGTCAACCCTAAACCCTCAACCCGTGAACCTTAAACCCTAACCCTAAAACCTAAACCTCTCGCATATCCCGACGCAGGTTCATGCGCAGCTGCGATGAACTTGCACCTGCTTTTGAAGTGCTGCGGCAGCGTTCGCCACCCCTGTCAGCGAAGACACCCACGCCCAAGGCACGCGCAGAATTTAGATTGGCGTTTAGGGTTTATAAACTATACCTTAAAGACGTTGTTCGTTGTTTGTATTAAACCTCTCGTATCTGATGCACCTTCAACACACTGCGGTGCCAGCATTGTGTTTATCTGCGCAGTTGAATATGTTTCAATGTAACTGGTCAGCTGATGGCTACAGAACCTTTTTGCTGATGCCTATATCCCTCAATTTGATTAGCTTGCCTGCTCAGAATTAGGCTTTAGTTCGTGTGGGGTTATCAATTAGTTGTAGCTGAAAAATCGACACGGTGATCTGCAAGCGAACTTACTAATGGAGCTGGCTCCTCAAATGTATCAACTAGATTGCGAATTTGTCAAACCTTGTTTTAGAATCGGAGTTGTAGGTTTCGGGTTTGGGGATTCTAATGCAGATCCGTGCAGTTGAAGTAGGTGGTTTGCAGCTTCTGCAAGCGGCGCTTTGCGAGCGGCCAAGCGCTGCAGTCGCACATCACCACCAAGCACGCCGAGGAGTGCCTGCCCTCGCACTGCTTGGAGGTTCAGGGTACTTGTTCATGTACTTTTAACCTACTTGCCTTAAGTGCCCTTATTACGGCCCTAAAAATTGGTGAATAAGTACCATGAACCTTCAAGTAGGCGTGACCCTATAACCGGCCACCGAGAAACCAACCTCCTCCGCTGCATCTGAGCTGTCAGCTGAGGCTTCTTCTCGCGCTCCAGAGCACGTCCCAACGGTTTGGTTACATTATATATTATATTGCATGGCATCATATATGTATAGAACATATAGCCTATATATATGTATATTATATATGTATGTATATATATATACACATATGTATGTATGCATACATTCTAGGTCACGTTCTTGATGTTCATCATGTTTATCAAAAAGAAGCTTGGGTGCCCCATCGTGGGAGTAACATCCCCTAGCCTTCTTGGAACGAACGTTAGGGTTTAGGGTTTGGGGTTTAGGGTTTAGGGTTTAGGCGATTGTCATCGTGCCAGCTGACTTACAGAGTCTGGGTTCAAAAAGGGTTTAGGCATAACAAAACCCGACCTTCCCCAGACGTCGGTTTCGTGAGGACCCACACGCCTTGCAAAGTCTGAGTCGACCTCACTTGGGCTGGAGGTGGGTTCAGGGTTTAGGGTTTAGGGTTTCAGCAGCATGAGCTCTTTCCCGGCACGCTCCCCAAGCCTGGATGCAATTAGGTTTAGGCCTTATGGTTTTTGGATCCCTCTCCGGCTCTTGTTCGTTCTAACTCATGTCGCGCCATGCCACAGGCTCCAAGTGGCTTTTGAGGACGAGTGGCTGGCCGTCGCCCTATACTCAGAGTTCAACGGTCTCGAATCTTAGAGGGGCTGAAGTCCTCGCGCTAGCGCTGGTAGCCTGGGACAAAAGGCGAGAATGCAACGAGGGAGCACATGCCTGCCAAAGCCCATGAACGCACCTTGAGCATCTTTACCGTGTATTCGGGGTCCTGATTTCTAAACCCTAAACCCTCAACACGAAGCAAGGTCAACCAAGG